GCTCGCTCGCTCGCTCGCTCGCTCGCTCGTTCGCGCCGTTCGCGGAGCGAAACGAAGGCAATCGAGCGCGTCCGCGGAACGTAACACGCGGCCTGCACGTATGTAAACGTCCTCGGAGTCGCGGCGAAGCGCCATTCTTCGTCGACCACGGCGACCGGATCCGGCCGGTCGTCTTGATGCTCTTCCGCGGGCGGTAAGCCCGGAGCAGGCGAGAACAGAGCCGCAATTTGCGTAATTGCGATGCCTTCCTCTCTCTCTCTCGAAGAAGAAGAAAGCGGCCACGAGACGACCCTCCGCCGGACAACACACCCCGTGTTCCCCTCCGTCGCTCCCCCGGCTCTTTGTCCCTTTCCGTCTCGCGTCCGGTCCGTGTTTTATAAGCCTATCCATAGATAGGAATTTTGCAGCTATGCGAAATAAGCCTCGAGCGCATCGCTCGAGAGTCGCGCGCGCGCGCAACGCCAATTAGTTGCATTCACGCCTTGCTTTCTACGGCGCAGGTGCGGCTCTGGTGGGGTGTGATTTCGCGATCTCGGTAATCACGATTCCGTCCACGCCGTAATGTCGATCAACGATAGAAGAAAGAGGAACGGTGAGAGAGAGAGAGAGAGAGAGAGAGAGAGAGAGAGAGAGAGAGAGAGAGAAGAGGGGAAGGGGAGGGAGGGGGGAGGGAGGAAAAAAGGAGGAAAGCATACGCATCGTTCGCGCTTATTTACCGATGCACCACGAAATCTGCATAATAATATTATAATTCACACAGAGCGATCTCTCTCTCTCTCTCTCTCTCTCTTTCTCCCTCTCGTCCTCGATCGACCGACCATGCACGCCAGCCGAGCGTGCGTGAATGGCGATGCGTGTTCAACGGAAACATACGTCTCGCGGTGGTGCGTCCGCGGCGTGGTATTAATTTTATTTATGGCGGATGTTGCAACAAAGTTATAATTCCGATAAGATGAACGCGAGTTACGACGCGAGAAAGAGAGCCGCGCTTCGTAATCCGCGCGCGTATCGCTCGGGGCCACCTGGAATTACGACGACGCAATGCGAGATTCTGCGCGCACGCTGTCGGGAGAAGCGAATGCGCGCGCGCGCGGTGTGCCGATTTCATTCTCGGTTCTTAACGCTTTCGGTGAAAATGTCACGTGAAACCGTCACGAACTGCTGGCGATCCCAAAACAGCGACGTGCGTTTTACCATCGATTTTCGCCGCGGTCACTCCCGTTCGCATCCCCGTTCGAGTCGCGCCTGCGTAAATTCATGACGTGATATAATGGATAATAACTTTCAAATTCCACGGACACATTTACCCTCTTTAGAACTTAAATCGATTTTCGGACAGCCGGTAATTACGCTATCAACCTAATCAAATGCGCGCGTAAATATTCCGCGTGCTGTAGGACGCGAGCGCGCGCGCGCTGCGCCGCAAATTGGATGCACATATTTTACGAGGAGCGCGAGTGATTTAATACCGGTGGAATATACCGGTAGTTAGGCACGAAATTGCGACAGGCCATATCCCCCTCTTTACTCTTCGTCAACATCGACGGTGTGCAAAAAATACGGCGAGAAAAGTGCTCGTTACATTCCGGCCGTGACGCGACACGCGAAGCCGTATTTAAGCTGATGCCCGACGCGACGCATCTGCGCGACGACGACGTTCGTGTCTTGTACGCCGTTTTCCGATGATAATGATAAGAGGTAAATGATAAATTCGGTTGAAATGACAAGTTTTTCATTCGGCAAGATCACTGATAAAGGAGAATTTCCGAGTAAATTGAGTTCCTTTGTCATTTCAAATAATACGCTCGACAAACGTCATTCATCATCTTCCCAGAACGTGCAAAAGAAATTTATCAACCTAATCTAGATATACGCACCGAGAACAAATTTCTAAATGACGTCGATTTCTGCAAATCTGTCATCAGAGAGAGAGAGAGAGAAAGAGAGAGAGAGAGAGAGAGAGAGAGAGAGAGAGAGAGAGAATGATTTTATATAAATTACCTATCAAAATTATTATTTTGATAAGTAATTTCTTCGCGAAGAAAATTTATTTTCAGAATTATCACTCGCTAATTATCTCTGTCACAAGTTTGTAAAACGCGCAAAATTTTGATGTAAAACTTTCATTGGGAATACCGGTGCTTGTCATAGTCGTGGAATGATACGACATTAATAACGTAGAATAATAACAAGTGCTTTCCTAATTGAAAACTCGCGACTTTCTATTCCACATATTTCGATTTTCCCAATATCGTGCTACCAGCTGTCGCTACCTCGCTTACGTCTCATTTCAATATCTGCAGCCTCTTATTTCCCCCGCAACTTCTTTCCACAATTTCCACGTCTGTGTTCACGAGTACTACCATCATCGCGTAATACCTCGCGCACGTGCCGCTATTTCGCGCAGCCCGAATTTCCCGGGACGTGTCGATAGACACGCTCGGCATCGTGCGTGACTCGCGTGCACTCGCCACACGCGACCGCCGGGAGTGGCTCGCGGGCGCGCCCTGCATCGCGCGTTGCACCCCGCCTGTGGCCGGGCGCATCTCCCTCTGTGTCGGTGCACTCGGAACGCGAGATCAGCAAATCTAAGATCGTGCAACTGGTGTCCAGTGGCGTGTCCGCGGCGTACGACGTTGGCTGGCGTTCGCCAACGCGAGTGAGCGAGACAGCGGGCTGGTCGAACACGAAGAAGAACGAAGAGTGAAAGATGAAGGAGCCCGAGGAAGAGAAGGAACAAGAGGAGAAGGGGGGGAGGAGGAGGAGGAGGAGGAGGAGGAGGAGGAGGAGGAGGAGGAGGAGGAGGAGGAGGAGGAGGAGGAGGAGGAGGAGGAGGAGGAGGAGGAGGAGGAGGAGGAGGAGGAGGAAGAGGAGGAGGAGGAGGAGGAGGAGGACGAAGAAGAAGAAGAAGAAGAAGAAGAAGAAGAAGAAGAAGGCGGAGAGGCCCCGAAGAAGGGGAGAGGTGGAATGCGCGGTTCTCGAAGGAGGAGCTGTCGGCGGGGAAAAATCACGCACCCCGCCACCACTCTGCTACGGCCAGCGCAGCAGCATCTGCTCTACATACCCTGGCTCTCAACCTACCTACCCACGTCCACCGACCACGTCTCGGCCGACCCGTAAAAATCGCTCAATCGATGACCTCGAAGCGTGCCTCGCGCCCATGGTGCATGCGATAATCGATTCCCCGTGAGGTGAGGTGCGCGCTACGCAAGCTCCTCTCGAAATAATTGTGCCGCGCGAGATAATTATGGCTTTCGCAGACCACGAGCGCGCCGTGGTCGCTCTTTGTGTTGCATAGAGCATACGGCAGGTACTTTGATGATAAATTTAATCTCTACTCTACTCAGTCGCGCGAGTCCCGGCCAAAGATAAAGATGTTGAAAATTCCGAGCAAACCGGGCGTACGCACGCTACTTGAACGAGAGGGCTCTCGTATATCTTGCGGTATAATCGCGACGTCGCGATATAATTTCCCGATTATCCCGATGAGTTACTTAATTCTATGTAATTACAGCCACGCATACGTATGTAAACGCGCTTAGGTGGTACTCGACGCTGAACCCGAGCTACTCCACCACAGAGTGATATCTCTCTGTCGCACTACGAAAATCTATCAAAATCCCCGTGTCTCAGCGGGAAAAGAATTATTCACGTGGAAAGAGTGATACGTGAAAGAAAAGAATACCATTTGCGCTTATCGTTAGTCGCAACTCGTGTCGCGACGTATCGCTCGATGAACGATCTCGTACGTACGTTCGTACTCGCGACTATTTTCGGTAAGTTTCTTCAGAAAGCACCGGTCGTCGGCGACGCGCTTCCACGAAGGCTACGAGGAGCTCATCAATGAGAACCTCGAAGAATCGGAGTAGCAGAGCAAGATATACGTGTGCTGGCTGGGCTACCGGTCGGTCGGGTCGGGTCGCTGTTCTCCTGTGTTTCATCTCTCTCTTTTGCTCTGTTTTGCTGTTCCTCTACCCGCTGCCTTCCTCTTTTCACCTCCCGGCTTATCGCGCTCGCTCGCCCTTTCTCCCCGTGGCCGTTCGTGCCTCTCTTTCTCTCGCTGCCGCTCACTCCCGAGAGTTGTTGTTCGACTGTTTTATTACTTTTATAAATACCGCCGCCACGATGCTGCCTCTGCTGTTGCTACTACTACTACACTACTACTACTACTACTACTACTACTACTACTACTACTCTACTACCACTACTACTACTACTACTACTCGCCCGGTCGCGGCTCGGCGGGCGTTTCCTTTGTTGGTCCACCGTGGAGCCCATTGTTGCTCGCGGAAAGATGCGAATTTTAATTTGATATTGTCTAATATTATTTATGTATGCACGCGGCTAGAGAAACCTGTGTGTGCCGCCGCGGTCTTTTCGAGGGCCGCCTGATGCCTTTCGCGCGCGCGCGAGTCGCGTCGTGCCGTCCGTCGCTTTCTTCCATTCAATAGGAGAGAAACCGTAGCGTCCGCTCTCGGACGACTTAACTCCGCATCGAAAGTCCCGTCCGCCGTCTCGTCGCGCCGACTCACCTGACTTCTGTTTCACGTGATCGCGTGTACTCGAGTTTCCTCGCGAGTCGCGTTACGGCTTCTCCCCGAACGACAAATCCGAGAGCGGAGGAATCGAATGATATTGTGACGACAATGACGTACCTAGCTGTGTATCTACTTGACGATTGTTTAACGCACCGTGCACGTAACCGACGTTCTCAATTTACGCAGCAAATCCAGCGCGGCAACTCTCCGCCGCGAGACTGACGTATCCTAAGAAGAAAAATCTCCCGCCCAGAATAGCCTCTAATCTACTCGCGATTATTCTCGGCCGTCCTTCGGTGTGTTCAAAGCCCCGTGGCAAATCGTCGCGTCCCGTTCCCCATAAGCGTAATCTAATTACCGGCACAAGTGTGCAAGGTGTCCGCACCTTGCGAGTGCGAACGAGGCACCGCTAGACTTGCGCGTACGTGCTCGGTCCACCTGGGGAAATCAATATCAGCCAACGTCCAGGTTCACTGCGAGCCGCTCGCACGACAGTACGCGCAACAGTTGCGTCGGGACGAGGAAGACGTTACGAGCGAGGGATACACGTCGTCGATAGTCGACGTATCGGCCGACCGAACGACCATCGGAAAGTGAGGTGATCGACGCGCGGCGGATTCGCGCTGGTTGGTAGACGTTGGTAGTCGCGAGCGAGATTCGACGACCGAGAGGACGACGCGCGCGACTTTGCGACTTTGCGCTCGATCGGATGTACGCCGTGTTGCTATGGAAATCCGCGAGAACGATTGCATCAGCCGCGAATTAGAGACGCTCAGGTAAACAACCACGCCTGGGCGGTATTGGCCACCGACACCTCGCTCCAGCATGAGCGAGAAACGATTATCGCTGGGCATTAACGTCAGCATCCTGCTGATACTGACGATATTCGGCGTGCTGTTGTTCCTGCCGTTGCGATTATTGTTCGACACGAATTATGACAATCGGGACGGCGAAGAAACCAATGCCACTGACTCGGAAAGAGGAAGAGCGCCCGTGATACCGATCGATCATCGGAAATTGAAACGTTGCCCGAATTTACCGTACGAGGATCACCTGTCGTCGATCTTTCTGAGTGATTACGATAGAAATTGTACGTATGTGCAAGATGATGACGACGACGACGACGACGATGATGATGATAATAAGAACAGTGATAGTAATGATGATGATGATGATGATGATGATGATGACGACGACGATAATGACGACGATAACGACGACGACGATGACGACGACGACGACGACGATGACGACGACGATGATGATGATAATGATGATAACGATTCCGAAGAGAAAGAAAATAGCAGAAAGAATAGGAAGATTCGTGAGATTAAAAAGGGCATCGGCGAACTAACGAGAGAAAACGCTGAAGATCTTTTGAAAACGCGCCAAATGAAGTCTGTCACGATTGCGGGCCACATACTTGTGGCAATGTTACTCGTATCAGTAATAGCCGCTCTCGTTGAAGTACTACGAACACGCTTCGAATTCGCCAGAGACAAAGTACTGCGCCACATAATTACGCAAGTTTTCGAGCTCCTGCGTTGGAACTTAGTATCCTCAAGTTGTTCGAATTTATCTGCCGGAAAAATTCTTCTCGCGAAACTCCAGCTTCTTGAAGATTTTACTCGACCTCGGTTATTTTGAGTGACCGTTCTAATTATGACGAATGATTCGGAAACAGAATTATCAACGCGTACACCTCGACCGGAGGTTGATAACCAAGTTCCAACGCGAGCGATTAAATCGTTCTGTTTAGTAATTCTTTAAGCACGTTACGCACTGTCCGCAATTTGCACCCACGTGTTAACGAATCTAAATTAATTGTCCGTATGAAACATGCATTCCCGATTCCCGATTTCGCACCGTTGGGGATTGACTGCGATATTCGACAGAGACTGACGGATAAACGCTTCGCGCTAGTTCGCTCGCGGAGCTAATAGCTAGACCGTCTCTCTATGCTCGGATAGACACGCATTCGTCAAACTATTGCACCTTTTCTTTTCAAAAATGCATAAGGATTCGTCTAGGGCAGGCATGACTACTTCTCGGCGATGCTCCTTCAACGTGGACACATCCGTTCCAAGACGTCCCATTTCAAGAGAATTAATTAGGAGTCAGAGGTCTTTTGAGGTACAAGGAATGCGCCGTTCCCCATTGGAATTCCGTTTATTAGGTATGGGTGAAAAGTTGTAGTGTCCGCGATTGAACAAAAAAGAAAAAAATTGTGTAACTGAGGAAATTTTTTAAAATGTAATTTCTCAAAAATTTCTAATTGAAATAATTTTGCAAAGAGAGAAGAAAAGATTCTATTGGCAATTTAGATATTCGAAATTTATATCCTAAGTTCTATGTGGATCAACATATTTAAAAATCTAATTAACTCGCTGTTGTACTTTTTTAATTATGAAAGGACCGAAGGAAACAAGTATACCTCTTCCGTGACAAAGTGTAAAATACCGCTACCGGTGCAAAGTGACGTTTCAACGCGAGCGGACATATGAGATTGAAAAATGTAATTAAAAAAATTTTAATTTAAAAATTTATTCTCCTCCCCTAGGAGCGCGACCGCCTGTGCTTATTCGCCGCTCCTCGTTCCCGATACCACAAACGAATCAAGCCGCTACTTCGTCTTTTTTTGGTACGTCGACCAGCCGGCTGACGCGACGTCCATCGGCTGAATCGGACGAAGAAACCCGAGTCGTCACCAATGCTCTTCATCATCGCATCCGTCTGATCCGACGCCATTAAGATGCCACGAGAATAGGTAAAGATAGATACGCGATCGATTCGTACGCTTTATCCGACGATCATATTTCGCGCAGAGAGACGCGGTGAAAAAAAATATTCATCTTTATTTCTAATTTAAATCTACTTCTTTTGTATCGTCCCGGATCATTTATTAACGCGTTTGCAATTGCGTCGGGGATGAAGAAGTAAATTATTAAAAATTCGCGATATATGGAGCAGTAGTATAATTTTGATTTTATTATTCGCGCGATTCGCGTGTCTTGCGTGTGAAGCAATTTCTAATTCCTTCCCGCTTCTTTTCCAGTAATATCTCAGTTCATCGAATCGTTGACGCAACTATATCAATAATAATAATAACAGGGTACGCGCTTCTTTGACTAAAAGGTACGTCTTTAAACACCATTCTCTCTTTACATCACTATAAACTTCAAAAAATATATATCTGATATCGAAATCAAAGTTTGGATTCTACATTAATCCTATAAATAAACGCAGGTATGGGTGACTAATTATCAAGGATTTTCGCAGCACCAATTATTTGTCAGAGAATGATATACTAAGTGTACCCAAATCTCGACTCGGTTATTTCCATATTTTCAATAAATTCATTAAATTCATAAAATTCAATTAAATCGGGAAACTTTCTTGCAGTGAATGATTTCGCATACCTGAAGATATATATAATATGCCGGTGCCTGCACCTGCTTCCCCAGTCCTGACTTCCAAATTTGACATCCCGATTTTTCACTGCTCCGTCGTATCACTCCGAATATTCGTTCGTCGCGTTGACACTGACATTCGCGTAAATATCACAATTCGATCAAAAACACGCACGATAATTAACACGATGCCGATGACAAAGTCCGATATGCAATTTTGCGAACCGACGAAATATTTTAATCAACCGACGCGAGTGATCAGCGATACATCGACACGCGTACTCCGCGCTACGTGGATCGTTTGACGACGCGAAACGTAATAGAAAACACCGAAAACCACGCGACTCGCGAGAGCGCGTTTGACCGCTGCGAAGGTCCGGAATGTTTTGAGAGTGCTGATTGTTATCGTTCGGCCGTCGGCGGCGCATGACGGCACTTGCCGATTGACGCGCATGACGTAACATTTTTTGTCTATTGTTTTCATTCTCGCGCGTGTCGCGTGCTTTTTCGCGTGCGCGTTCGCGGGGATGTTGCATTGAATATTTTCAAATATATTGATACATATAATTTTAAGCGCGTAAAATCATTCATTGTACACAATATTGGCGATTTTAATTGACGTTTGATTTACCAAAAATATATTCGAGGGGAGATTGAAGCATTTGCAGTACGTCATTATATTTGACAAATAATTATAACTTGATAAATCTTCTTGATAATTCGTCAATCTGAACCTACGCTTATTTCACACAGGAAAACATATTGACTCAAATACCCGGATCTATAGATCCAAATATGTAATTAATTATGTAAAAATATATATCAAATTTTATTTTTTTGTCAATAGGTCAGATGCAACGCACAACGATCATATCCTATGACTTTTTTGACGCTCATGCAACGTCGAAAAGTTTTTCACCGAGAAATAAATAAATTCATAGTTATATTTTTCACTTTACCCTTCACGGCGGCTTTACTAGTGTTTCATCTATACAACGCTTTTATATCATGCTATCGACTAAGTTCTGCTTTCTAGCCATGCGATAATTTAAAAATGCGAAAAGAGTACTCAGTATAGTAACACGAAATCAAACATTACCGAGAATCAAATATTAGCGCAAGTCAAATATTACTGCAGTGTAAAGCTGAATTCTTGTAGCTTGTATGTAGGAACTAATATGCTTAATCGAGCAATATCTATTTTCTATATTGGATTACTGTTATTTTAAGATTATGTAATAATCAAATTAAAAGTTGTAATGTCGTCAACGCGATTAGTTCAATCCGACGATTTAAAATTTACTAATGAATAATAAATTCACAATATCAGTCTTATAATTATAATGGTATATATTACACTATGTATATTTAATGCACAGACTGTCCTAGAACTAGTGTACATCAGAAATATAAGATTGTATTAATTTGATCGCAAGTAGAATAGATTATTTATGATAAAATTTTTGTTCGGTGAAAAATTAAGTCGAGAAAGAGCCAATATATTTTTAAACACCTAGTTCTGATGTATACTTTAATTCATGGAGACACTCTATGTATTAAATAAAACAGATAAATGTGCATTCTCAAACTGACAGTACAACGACCGAATATATCTATTGTTATTGCTGTTATTATTTCCTTAATGTTTATAATATTTTTATCGCTTAGGAAATCTCTATCAATGTATTACTATGCCAAAGTCACATGTACAAAAAGATTTATAAAAATTGTCACATGTCTATAAAAATTACGACAATGAGCTTTACTATCAAAGCACAGATGCAAAATTGCGTGTGTCTGTTTGTGTGCGGGTGTGTATGTGTGTGTGTGTGTGTGTGTGTGTGTGTGTGTGTGTGTGTGTGTGTGTGTGTGTGTGTGTAAATTATTTCAAAATAATTACTTCTTACATATTTTCGTAACAAGAAGGTATAATTCTGTCTCTACCAACGAACCTTCAGACCATTTACTCCTGTGATCATCTTTCTTCATGTGATATGTATAAATTTATAAATCGCGAAATATCTAAAAGTGGATGTATTATATTGTGTAACTATGTTAGACATAAATATTATGACTAACATAACTAACATTTTCAAAACTGTGATACGCTCTCCTACATTTATGTCATTATGTGAAATCAAAGAAATATATTGTGGAATTGTGAAAGTAAAATCTGAGATTTTAAATATATTTTTATATTTTCCGATTCCTTAACATTTCAATAACGAAAACATACAAAATCAAAACAATATATTAATGTAAAAAATAATGTCTGATTCATTAAATATCTTCCTACGCATCCTGATGTTCTAACACTCCAACATCTCAACATTCATAAAACATTATGTATATTACTTAATAATGAATTAAAAAGTATATGCTTTTGTTATTGCTGATACATTTCAAAAAATGTTTTCCCAACCAATGTATGGAAAAATATTAAAAAAATTAATGAATATAAAATATCACTTTTATTACAGTGCTATTTTAATAATTAATAGATTTTAATCTCAGCATGCAAACATTTTTTCAATGAGAAATTTATTTAAGAAATATTACTATATATATTTAGAAATATTATTATTTTATGCAATATTAGTATTATTCTTTTCTTACGGTTATTATAACCATATTATTATTTACGCACTTAGTATATCCTACATACATGTTATTAATCACATGATAATACATCCACATTTCTACGATCGTCGGTAATTTATATCGTAGTCGATAATTTGTATAATAGTTTGTTTACCGACATCATCAAATGCTTGTGAAAAAATCGTCGGTAGGTAGATGGAGCCAGGAGAAGAAAAGATAATTACAGAACATTGATATTATCGATATATCGCTTTTGCTGAGGCTGTGTTCCGTAATCACTTATCGACAGTTTGCGCAGCTTTTCTGTTATATGAAAAACCTGCGCAACGTCGCTAACGACACCGACAACTGTCGATATACGGAATACAGCTCCTGCATAACAGGGATTATATTCATAACAGGGGTTATATTTTCATATAACAAAAAAGCTGTACAATATTGCTAACGACACCGACAACTATCGGTACTCGAGTACAGAATACAGCCTAGAGAATGGACATTCTCGTCAACTCATTTTGCGAGATATTCATTCTCGGCTATTTAGCAATGCCACTTTACAACAAACATACGCAACACATACTTGTAACATTTTTGGTACTTACTATGTGCGAAATTCAGCTTCAACCAGCGGAAATCGTAGGAAATACGGAGCAGCATCCTGAAACCATTCTGCGGCGCCGGTGGCTGTGCCAAAAAAGATCGAATTGAAGTGAGCCGCTTAAGATGCTTGCAATTATCGAAGCGCGAGTATTCTCGATGCAACTAGCGCCACCTGCTCGCAAATCCATCCTTTCTTTCTTACTCTTTTCGGATAATTTTACGACAACCCATTAATTCATCACAAAGTACAAATTAATGTATATTCACGAAATACACACAATATGCTATTTTGCGAAATATTCATCTTTACTAGCTGCTTAATAATATTTTATTATAACAAATACGCGACACTTATTTCTAATATTTCTACTGATAATGCATTCGTCTCGCTTTCGGCAACGCGAAAACATAAGGAGTAATGATTTGCGGTTTGAATTCTTACAACACAAAAAGGTGCAAAAATGCAGGTGCAGGTACAACTAGTTATCATTCCTCATTAGCCAAATACATATATTGTTAATAAGTATTTAATGCGATATCTTACTACAACAAACGCATAAAATTTACTTTTCGTGTCCTCAACAATAATTCATGCACAGTTTCAACTCAGTCGACAGTATACATTGATTCGATTTGAGCTTCTAACCGTCATAACGAGACAGATAAACAAAACTTTGTTAAATATTACCAGTAACTCGTTTCGCGAGGTATTCTCTCTTAGACTATTAAACTATTATTTAACGTTAATAAACAGACATACCATTTACATACGACGTTTTTGGCTACTTTTCAAGCGCGAGACTCCACTTTGGCAGATCAAAATCGGAGCAAGAGATACAGAAAACTCTTCTGTACTATGAACTAGTGCGCATGCCTATTAAGCCAGCGGCACACGGTGCTTGTTGTGCTGGATTACTTGCTAGATAAAAATACTGCATTCTGATTGGTGCATTTCCATCCATCTTCGAAAATGTACCAATCAGAACGCAGTATTTTCATCCAGCAAGCAACCCAGCACGAAAACAAGCACCGTGTGCCGCTGGCTTTAGAATGAATATCGAGTGAAATTGTAAGGGCAAGAGCACAGGCTTTTGCACATCACATAATACATAACGCATAAGAAAATAAACCAATTAGTTTTCTTCATTTCCCTCCTCAGGACAAAAATGAAGAACTCTGACTGGTTGATTCTCTTATGCGTTGTGTATTATGCGTTATGCAGAAGTCTGTGCTCTTGCCCTATCGATTCTGGATCTCGAGATATTGATTGGACATAAAGTTAATGATTGGTTGGATCTAGTAATATATCAGATAAAGCTTTGCATCGGTTGGTCGTGTCCAATCGTGCCGTGTTGAATGGCAGTCTCCCTTTATGCACTGAAGATTACGGGCCAGAGCACAGACTTCTGCATAACGCATAATACACAACGCATAAGAGAATCAAAGTTCAACCAATCAAAGTTCTTCATTTCTATCTTGAGGAGGGAAATGAAGAAAACTAATTGGTTTATTCTATTATGCGTTATGTATTATGTGTTAAGCCAGTGGCACACGGTGCTTGTTTTCGTGCTGGATTGCTTGCTGGATGAAAATACTGCGTTCTGATTGGTACTTTTCCGAAGATGGATGGAAATGCACCGTTGGCTTAAGACCCCTTGCACAATGCCAAGCACCAAGCAATAAGAATAAAAATAGACCAATCACAATCGACTATTACAAGAATAATCTATTGTGATTGGTCTATTTTTATTCTTATTGCCTGTTGCCTGGCTTGTGCAAGGGTCTTCATGCAAAAGCCTGTGCTCTTGCCCAATAAGTATAATATATCGTGTGAGTAGCGTTGGAGCATCTATTGTATGCACAGAGCCATCTATTGAAGAAGAAGAAGAAGTATAATATATCCGTTTTTCTAGTATTACACTTCATTACACTCTATAATTTTTTATAATTTTATTTGTTTCTTTTTCTGCAAGGTTAAGAGATTCATCAATTTTTGACAGTCATGCACTACTGAACTGATTTGATTTATCAAAAATTGTTAAATATTTAATTGCTATCACAATTAAAAAGCAATATGGGAATGGTAAAAACTTAATTTTTTTTCACTGCATTATATCATATTTGATATTATTAATATAAAAATTAACTTACATTTAATTATTAATCAGATTTTATATAAATGTATTAATAAAATTTTCTTTTTTACTAATTTATCTCTTCTTTTTTAATATATAAAAATTATATATCTAAATTATATATCTAAAAATAAATATTAAATTTTTAATTAAGCCTGAGGAGAGACTAATCCCAAAATCATTACGGACAGTATTGACAGTGGATGTTTACTTGACAAATGCTTTTGTCAATTTGATGGAAAAATATCTACCATTGGAACAATCAGAAATACATTATAAATTATTAGAAGTTTGCTTACCAAATTTTGCATTTACCTATTTGCTATTATATATTTTTATTAAATAAAATTTATTAATAAAAATTGTTTATATTCCTTCGTTTTTCAGTTATCATGTCACAGTATACCGTGGTTTACAACTATTCTCATGCTTATTTGGATGTTGCACAGCAAAAGCTTATTTCAAATGCAAGTTAACCTTATGATAGGTATGAGCAGTATATTATAAAATCCATTATTTGAGATATTGATATGGAATACAAACAAATAAGAAAAAAAAGCTCTATGTCTCTTCAAATTTTTTCAGGATTGCTAATTGATGCTCTAGTAGTTTGTGCACTAAAAGCAATAATAAGAAGAAGACGGCCCAGTTTTAGTAACAATATATTTTTCATAGGTCCTGATAAATATTCTTTTCCATCAGGACATGCTTCTCGTGCTACATTTATTACATATTTCTTTTTTTATATATGGCCTATCTCATTAATATTTGCATCACTTTTACTACTATGGTCTGTTTCTGTATGTTTATCCCGATTATTAATGAGAAGACATCACATACTTGATGTGTTTTTTGGTATTCTTTTGGGTATTTTGGAAGGATTAATAGTGGATTATATTTATTTAGAACAGGAGACATGTGTTAACTTAGTATCACGGATTTTCACAGATATATAGGTTTAATTGATATTTAAATGCTATTTTCAAGGGATTTGCAAAATAATTACTTACAACATCCACTATTAATGTTAATAATTTTGTTGTTAATGTTAATAGTTATGGAATCTCAGGTTGTGATTATGGTTGTGGAAAAATCAAATATTTTACCCATTTTTACTAATAATAAGGTGCAAGAAAATGATGTTTAAAAATTATGATTATACACGAAAAAATGTGAAAAAAAATGAATAATTTAAGAGACCAAAGTGAGACTCGACGAATAGAACAAGAATATATTTTAAATTAAACTTTATTAAAGATTTGTACTATGACTAATGTACTATGACAAGCATGTCATTCTCTACTGTTAGATTTGTGTTGCAATAAATGTATATCACGGTCAACCTCACATTCGCGAGCTTTATTAGCATTATATATTTGAAAAAAATGTTTACCATGTTCAAAAGTTGCAATCATAATTGCACAGGCTGGAGCTACTTTTACCAAACGTGGTGTTAATCCTGTAAATAAACCTTTCAATCCGTTTTGATAATAAATTCTTTGTATTATAGTCCATGTATTGCTACTGCGAATAGGCTTATCTAAAAATTCATAATTGTTAACAAAATATACTATATAAATTATTTTTCTATAATAATACATGTTAATATTCACCAGAATAAATTTCCTTTTCACCCATTTCAATTTGTCTGTGCGTTTTTACAACGTCAAATGGAATAGTAAAAATTGCTGCTATCTGCAATTGAAAAATTTCCATTTTAACATAACTTTGTAAGATATATAAATTTTAATATATTTCTATGAGAAATACATACAGATCCAGCTACTGCTCCTGCTGCTAAATTAAAAGTAAAAGTATGTTGTGAACTGTAAAATATCTTCTTTATAGTTTCATAATTCAACCAATATATAGCGCTAAAAGGAACATCACGAAGAAGCGTTGAACCTAATCCCATCCATAACCCAGAAACACCACTATATTTTACAACTTTCTTCAATGCCTGTGTTATTTCTGAAACACAGAAAATATATTTAGTATTATTAAAGCTACACCATCAGTTTCATTGCTATTTTATCTTTTATGCTTTCATATTAGCATCATTTACCCACTTTACCTGCATAACTTAGCCTTTGTGACTGCATTTTTGTTCTTATTAATTCCAATGGACTGACTAATGTTGCAGCCCAAATTCGTGCTGTGCCACCAGCTAAAATGGGAATCCAAAAAGGTTGCTCCATATTACCTGGCTTTTTTCTAAATTCTTTATTATATGTATCCTGGAGAGAGATATAATGTTATGATTAATAATATAAATAAATATGTAATATAAAAAAAAAGATATATTTCTTTACCTTAAGATATAATCTTAATTGTTCGTATGAAACAAAATATATAACAGTTGCAGGAACAGCCAGAATAAGAGTAGGACTCAATCCACTCCATAGTGATGTTAATCCTTCTGTTTTACTTATCTTTACTAAGGCATCCTGGAGACAAAACAAAACAAATAAGATTAAGGTTAAAGTTGTAACTTAAATTATATTACAATAATTATATTATTACACATACTACTGTTCCATTAAATTTTCCATTCCTTCTCATCCACTCAGGCATTTTACCATTGGTACAAGGGCACAAATGATCCATTAAACCATTGCAATACAGAAAACATTTATTTGAAAGCATTGCTTTCTGCTGTGTTTGAAGCCGTATTTTTACTACATCTAGAGGAGTTACTAAAACCAATAGGAAATATATAAATATCTACAAATTTACTTAATATAGACTTAAAAATATCACATGATGCAATATAATTTTCTTGTGATTTTTATAATTCTAAAATTGCACATGTTAAGAATATCAACGATATTCAACCAACATACAGATAGATTTAAGTACATCAACTTACCAAACACTGATGTGATAAAAGCACCAGTGCAGGAGGCTATAATTTGCTGATACGGTTTAATACGAAACTTTGGATCATCCAAGTCAATGTCTACAACTTTGTTGTTTATTTTATTCATTATGAAGAGATGATTTCAAACTACACTGACACAACACTATGAAGTCTCTCACGAAATATATTCTTGAAGTGAACTAGTTATTATCATCTACATGATAATTCGTAAAAGTGAGAAAAAGATAACGCACGTGATATCATCATAAAGTTGCCTCCCAACAGAAAATAAATTTTATTATAATAATTAATAATCATATGATGCCATTTAATTAACTTTCCTTATATATATACTTGAAGTTTCTTTTATCAAGTTAATCACATCAGCATTATACAACTTTAGAATCTTTAATTACTGCGTTATGAATTTTCAAACGATAATCATCTCGATGCTTATATACCACGGCGTAGAGTGATGATCGGGTATGTTTAACTACACGTTGTACACTTTATTTCTTGTTGCTCTGTTTGTCGTCTGACTAAATAATAAATAAATAAATAAATATATAAATTTCCCTCTTTTTCTTCTTTCCTCTCAATGTATATCTATTTTTCAGCATATATATATTGTTATTACTTGGAAATAAAGAGATTTTTCCACGTGATGTTGAGTCCTATTACTTGACAACAGAACAAATCTATTTAATTCGCCATTGAGTCGTACTACTTCAAAAGAAAAACTGTTGTTGAACTAAGGATGAGCACTGTTGAAAAAAATAGAATTAGCTTCCAAAAAATCGATTAAAAAATGCATCGATTTATGATTGATAAAATTTTGCTAATTTGAGCACTTTAAAAAGTATTAAATTGTGATTCGAAACACAACTATATCTTATGGAATCGATAAATTATGGTTTAAATCTCGGTTAAATTTTATGGAAGTCGATAAATTGTGATTTACTAGTTGAATTACCGAAGATGGCGCTATTCTCGAATTTTTCCTTGACCGGTGTGCCTTAAAATAATTGCTTTACAGTTTTGCTGAGTTTTACAGTGATATCTTGAATATTAAGTGTTTTTTGTGAACTTTTAATAGCAACGGTAATATTAATAATAACAAAGTACAAATATTATATATTTTAGATATGCGTTATGTATATGTGATCACTTTAAAACGAATTATATCCAGAAGATTGAATAATACTAATTTGATATATTTACAGAAAATAAGAATGGCAGAAAAAAAACAATTCGACGAATTTTTGGGAGGTTCCCAATCACTTCCACATGAGGTACCTATTATGAAAGTGGTTGCTGCACGAGCCAGTGAAATTGCTGCAATGACTTATTCAATAGGTACATTGTTACATTATACTTGTTTTATCCAACATCTTCTGTGTAAAATATCGTGGACCAACTATATATGACTCCTTTTAAATATTAATTCTTTTAACAATTTTTATTTATTCAACTTTTCTCCAAAAATGTAAATTTTTATATTCTATAGGATTAAACATCAATGTACATTGTTAAATATTTGTATTTCTTGCAGAAAATCCTGAACAAACAAAGTTAATATTTCAAAAGCTTCCTGTATATATGCGTAGACGTGTAATGTCTCACAATGTCAAAAGACTGCCACGAAGATTGCGGGAAGCTCATTTAAATCAAATGGTAAAGTCAGGTTTACCACCAAAAAGTAAACGACCCTCTCGAAAGTTTCGTAGGAGACCATCTAATATACTTTCCAAGTATAATCAGAGGCAGCTTAAAAAAATTTGGTTAGAAACACACATTTGGCATGCTAAACGCTTTCATATGGTTGATAAATGGGGATATAGAATTGCAAGTCATCCAAACGACAAATGTTTTAAAGCTAATTATCGTGCTGCAGCAGAACACTGTCTATTGCAAGATATCTCTTACTATACTTGTATAGAAATAAATGGAGAGGAAGATTTATTAAAGACAACACTGAAAGCACACTGTAAGCCATTTGCCTTATCTTTTGCAGCAAATAAATATATCAATGGCTGCAATGAAGGCACTCTAATGTTTTTTAGAAAAAACAGTTATCCGCAATTTCCTATTGGAAATGTGCATTTTCTCTGGAAGCCCAAGGAGTCTGACATTAGGACTATCTGGATCTGGGTACATCCTGCTTTTTACAATGATTTCCTTAATGAAATTACATCTAGTTTTGAATTTAAGGAGAACAATGTCGAAAAAGATGTAGCTGGTGGAACACATAGTTCAAGATCTTTATACACAAATGATGCTGATTGTAAAATGACCATTTTGAGAAATGCATTAAATAGATTTCGACTTTATGGACCATTAACTCTAAATGTACTAACAGATGCATTACAAGTACCATCTTTAACTGAATCAAATGTCTTTCAAGAGATAAATTATATTACCACAAAAAAACAACATGATTCATTAAACAATAAAAAATCAGACACATACAAAGAGTCAATAGACAATGATGTTTTGCAATCTGTAGAAAAGATAGCACTTGACGAGGCTAATGAAAAAGATACAATTTCTAAAACTTGCAGTATACAAGAACTTTGTGATAGAGCATGGCATATTGAATATTATAAACAGCAAGAGAATATGGAAGCTTTTAAAGTCCAGAAAGAATTGTGGCAAAAATTGAAGACTTCAGGAAAAGCAAACAATTTACCTGCGAGTGTTATGGGTCTGACTGTTTTAGACCCACGGTTTTATTTACGCGAGAAAAGAACAAAATGTGAAAAGGTAACAACCTTTTCTCAATTCACCTCAGTATCACAGACTAATTTAAATCGTACTCCGATTTGGGATGCACAAATACGTCATACCGCAAGCAGTAATTGCGTCTCGACGCGGAAGATTAATGAACTCAGAAGCGGGTGCCTCGTGCCGGGTGTGGCAAATGATAAATATTACAATGAAGATATTATGGCAAAGATACCTTTACTCCTTATTCCCAGGCCTGGTAATTCCGAAACAGGTATGCAATAAAAATATATATAATTATATTTTAATAATATATACAAATATAATAAAGTGAACACAAAAGATTGTGTTTCTTTTTAACAGGTATAGACTCTAGTATGGACATTGTAACTCCAGCTGGATGGGCAATGCCGATTTGGCTTGCGCTTATACAACGATGCGCAAGAGTAGGTGCTCTTCAGGAATCAAAATCAATAGCTTTCGAAAGTTTAAGTCCAAATACACCCGACATCAACGATCCTGACAGTCCTGCATACATGGAAGAAGCATCGAGTAGAAAGGAGGAATTAACTCAAAAATATTTCCGTTATCCACCAAATAGAAGAGCCAATTTTATCAAACTTGGAATTACTAGCTCCTTCTTTTGTGATTGGAAGAAATTGATGAAGGAATGGTCATCCACCGAAGATTTTTATGTTTTGAGAGATCGCAGGCTCTTGTTGCTTCTGCAAACCAGCGTTCGTCCTCCATATTCTGCCAAAAATAAAAATGCAAGATGTTCATCTGTTCAAACTACGCAAGCTGATTTTCAAGACCTAGATGCACACAAGAACTGTTTAGTACGCGTTAAAGTAACTATGGACAAAGGATTGCCGAAGGAGTTCGCAATCATATGCATACCGACGCCCGAGGATTTGAAAAAACTGGAAAGCGACAAGAAATGGACCGGACCTGTGGAGCAGTGTCACGCCGATGCAAACGAAACGACACGTAAAACATCGCGAAGAAACCACTTATTGCTATTAAAACGATTAAAGAGGCAAAGGATTCGACAGAAAAAATCGCTCGGAGACAACGTGTCGAAGCTACTGAAGAAGTCTACTGATGTTGTGAATAAGAGCGCAGACTCAAACAGTGCATTACTTCCTAAGATTATATCAGAGCAATCGAGGAAAATGTCAAAATTGTATTTACCGGAATGTACAAAAGTTCGTTATTCTTGTGACAGAGAAGTAATGGGATATATAACTGCAGGTCACTTCTCGTTCATTTACGCGAAGGGTATCGGTATAGGCTACATCGTATTGCCCTCGTTAATCGGGATGATTAATAAGAAATCGAACGTTGTTCTAATCAGGAATACGCAAACACGACAGTATAGATCAGCAACATTAGACATATTGAACACTTAAGAATAAAATCATGAACGTGCAACTGTAGTTCTATTCAATCAGAATTATTCAAAATTTTATGTATTTTTCTTTTTTATTTTTTTTTTTTTACAGAATATATCAAACTGTTGTACGTATAAATTATAACTAAACCAAATCGGCGGTACGAAAGGGTACCATATAAGAAAGACGTAGTTGTTATCGTTAATAAATAACAATCGTCTAAATTAAAGGTACCAGTGAATTGTAGCAGGCAGTCCCATTCATCAACGAAATCTGCAAGAAAACACGTTAGTCATTACATTGAATCTATTTAAGGTAAACATCGTAATGTTCTTTAACATTAATTTGTAAGAGATCTATAGATCTAAAACTGAAATATTTGTACCTGAAATATTTGAATACATATGTAGAGCTATCTGTACCTTGAAAGAAAAATTGTTTATAATTTCTGAGATTTCTATGAATGATAACTAAAAAGAGTGGACACCAGTTCTTTTAAAGTACAGATATGTCTTATTACTTTGTATAATATATATATATTTTTTTTTTCTCAGGAAAATGAAACTATATTATTGAACTCACGTATTGGAATCAGTCAATCTATCAGTAATAGCCGTAGCCCGATCCGTAACCATAGTGGTGATAATGAGGATAATGATGATAGTGATTGTGATAATGGTAGGGATATCCACCATATCCTCCGTACCCTCCGTATCCTCTACCATAACCGTATCCGCCATAGCTGAAAAAAGAAGATCGTTTTACCGAAACCGTTGTCACCTCCAGTCTAACATCTTTAGCAAACTTCCGTCACGACGAGGTTCAATTAGCATTGCGAAAATTAAATTAACAACGATAACTACGCAATTTTCAGCGACAGTAACCAATGAAAGAGCGTATGATACTTTTCTGCTAATTTTTGCACTTTCGTTCACTGATTTCGTTTGTTTTAACGCGTCATTTCCCTGACTAAAAACTGAAGGACTCCGCGTAAGAACATGATAAAGATTCGTTATTCACGAGATTCATTTCAGGTGCAATTTTGGGCGTAATGCACGACTTGCACGAATTGCAGACTCGTTTCATTATTGAAGATCTAGATTCTATGTGACGTCGTATTCAAGAAGAAAACGTCAAACCTAAGTAAAGGATGTCGTCGAAAATACGAAGAAATCAGCTTCATCCGAAAGTTCAACGAATCTTAGGAGGTGTTACTTACAATCCGGACTTGTACAATCCAGCGCCGAGAAAACCGGCACCCAGAGCACCAGCTCCCAGAGCACCGATACCTAAAGCTCCAGCGCCGAGGAGAGCACCTTTACCAAGGACAGCACCACCTAAAAGAGCCTTTCCCAGCAGAATAGGCGCTCTCTTGGAACGCGATTGCTCGTTGGTCACTTCATCCGATTGCGGGGTCAACGAATCGTCCGTCGCGGCGACAGCGGTTTGGCTGTCGGGTACCTGCAACGTCCTCTGCGGAACTTGCACCTGCGACTGGCCATAGACCATGGCCAGCACGGCAACCAGCACTATGACGTATCTTGTCTTCATCTGAAAACGAAGCACAAACGATGAACTTGAGTCGATCTAATATGTTTAAGGACTTACAAAATGAACTTGAAAGATGAGTGTCTGAAATCTCCGGAATCACCGAGGTCTACGCAACATTCAACAACCTCGATTATATCTGACGTATTTAATCTGAACGTTCTCTAGATCCAAATAATGAATATAATATTGCCTAAGCAGCTCTCAGCTGCTATATTTTGAACGTGTAAAGTGACATGTAATCGTTGAGAGGAAGACGAGAGAAACGAGACTCACACTCTTACTCTGCGGCTAACCGCGAGTCGGAAGAAAATGTACGATCAAATGAACGAGACAAATCTAGTCTAATACAACTTGAATTTACAAACTAATCTGGTTTATCTGGTTTAATGTTGAAGTAAAAGAAAAAAAAATCCACTAGGAAGCGATTCGTCCGAGTTCGATTCAACTTTACTTCACTTCGCTTCAACTTTAACACGTATCTTGCAAAGTCGAGGGATGTGAGTTCTGCTTCTGTGCTCGCCCTGTCGTTTACATTGCGCTACATACCTTGTCGAGATCACGTTTCCGAACGGACTAACTCTACTCGTAGCAGCAGCTCTAAAGGCTTTTATACGACAAGATCGAACGACCTCTGCCCCTACCACCGGAAACTTAAGCCAGATTCCTCGAGAAGACGTTGCAAGACATCTCTCTTTCCTGTCAGAAGTGTAAGCTCATTTAGCAGTCTCCGCCTTATCGTCCTCTCTTTCCCTTGTCTCACCTCTACGACTGGCAAAGGACCTGTTTCCTCACGTTTGACATTGAACCCATCCAGTGACTCGACAAGAATTCCGATCTCGAAATCGAATCGCCGATTTAATGATCTCTTCCTCGTGTCCGCTCAATCTCATCTTCAGGCGTTCCATCGATTTTACGAATCCTCTGGTTCTTGCAGAGTTGCATCCTTCGCGTCACGAGGTCGCGAGGATGTTCTTCCGTAATGACTTGCACTTAAATTACTCATATATTGATCGTGTCTTTCACGAGGTCTTTCGAACGCACATCGCTCGAAACTGGAATGTCAGAAGATAAATAATGACGTTAACGATGAAGAAGTAAAACGTCGCGTGACTTCGAATGATGCACGTAGCGCAATGTTTGTTGTATTAACAAATGAGGAAAAATCGTTGGATAGTGCGAGTGAATCTGTTCATACGCGCATAGGACGAACCGCAGGTTCATCGTGACCTTGCTGCGTACGCACCTCTCAACGATGAATTATGCATAGTCTTGCGTAATGAATAGAAATGACTGAACGAGAATTAGCATATAGGTCTTTGGGGAATTCCGGTTTTCATCCGGATCATTGACTTTTTTTAAGTGTGGGCGTGACTTTTTTCTATACAAATTTATTTCCATGCTGGAAATCACGTGTAAAGCAGCATAATAAATCGAATCGTGGAGTGATCGAAGAAACAATACGATCATTTAAGATACGATCATAAGAATTTTAAATTTCATGAATCACCTACTGTCGTTTATGAATTGTTCGACTAATTTGGATTTGGTTTTTCATTTACCACAATTCTGATCTTCAATATTAAGTATACTCATAATTAATTCTCAAATTGTGAATCTGTCAAAATCCATCTGTAATTAATCCGTAATTAATTTTTAATTGTTTATGAAGTGCAAGCTATCGGCGTCTTGACATTTTCGTTTATGAGAAATTGATTCCAAGTCTATATCCATCTTTTTAGATGACAAATACTCTTTTTTATTTGACATCTTGTATTCGCATAATTGAATTGTCTCTTGATTTATTCTTAGCTTCCTTCGAGAAGGAACCACATGCAAATGTTAATGTGTGATTCTACGTGTAGTCTAAAAAAATCTCACTCAAAAGAACATCCCGTTTATATATGATTATTAACCGGTTTTAGCCGGTATATTATCATTGCTGAAATATTTTATGTCATTTTCTTCACTGTTTTGTAAGTATGTTAAATAATTACATTTAACTGATATGCATATTTATCACATCCGCAACTTCGCTTTTATTCACTATAAACATTTTGATTATGTAATATCAATATTATAAAATGTTAATGTCGTATGGCATTCATTTTTAGTTGCGGCACGCAAAGATTATGTTCCTTTTTTTCTAAATTTCCGACAAATCAACAAGATGAAAAAATATCGTCCGGATATATTATTTTTTTACGTTAAAATCAGGATATTGCAAAATTGTAACTGAGAAAAGTTCTAATCGAGATTCGAGTTGTTCTCAACACGTTAAACATAAAGATTAAATACTGACACAAGGGAACTAACGAAAGTGTTAATTAATGCGTTGAAAGGAATATTATCCTCTTGTCGTAAATAATTTATTTCAATGAAAGGAGCCGCAATATTTTTCACGCTTCTTTGGATCCTGACAAGATACATTCAAAAAGGAACAGAGATTTAATTTCGCCACTAAACACGATGGTGGTTTGCGTGTAGTTTCCTGGACAAAATCTCGTAGGTCGTTTATTATATTGGGAAGCTAATTAATTATTAATCTAAGAAATTGTTTACAACTTCGCATACTCACGTCGTAAAAGTAGCCAGTCAGATGATGAGGTGGTTTTTATATGTCAGAAATAGGAAAGATTTTAGGAAAGAAAAAAAAACTTTAGCAATGCGAAATATCAATTTGACTGTGTCGCACATGGCGATATCGTTACTTTCAGTGCTACTATAATAGTATCTTTTTTGAATTTATGGCCTAAAAATTGAGACCTCGTCCACCTTGATACACATCGCTGTAGCCGTTTGATTGCGCCCAATCATTTTTTTCTTGTGCATACGAATCACCTTACAAAATGACCTCAACATTAATTAGGTTATCGTAAAATGCAAATGCTAATTGAATCGAACTATCGCAATCGTCAAATTATCACACTTTCTTGCTCGCATCTGATTGCATGTTATTCTTATATCACTCGTTAAACGACCATTGACACAAATTGAATACAGCGGCTTGCCATTGAACATAGCATGTGCAAATGCAGCACACGTTTAATCAGAAACACGCATGTCATTAAATTATACGAAAATTATTTTGTGAAATGACATATGTTATATGGCATAATATACGGTAATAGACATAGTTATTAAAAAAATAATTATTAAATAAGGAGATGTGTCTCTTATCGCAAGAGATTTATAATACTTTTCTTATGTAGTGGGGCCGAATTTTCCAATATAAAAGGAGAGAATCACAGAATATACCATATCAAAAAAAGTTCAGCCTAAAATTTCCACGCCAAATCACACACGTAATTTCGTTGAAATATTATTTGAAAAATGCGTCCAGCGGTGAGTAAAACACTGTAAAAGCTGTATTTTTTATTGAAATCTTTGTATTCTAAAGAGAGCTATTTACTTAAAAAAATAACACATATAATATTCACAATATATTATAGATGTGAAAAAATCAAGTTATAAAATAAATTGTCTTATGATGATAAAGGTAACAACAGCGGACAAGAAAAGGGCAAAACGAGAAGAAAAAAAACGTGAAGCTGAAGAACGCGCGAAAATGTTGAGGAAAGAACGTATCATGCGAGAAATCGAGCTCGGTGCTTTAAACACAAAACGTTATCGCACTTTATGGCGAGAAATGATGATGAGGATCAAAATGCCGCAGATAGCCGAGGATGTGGAAATCGCATGCCGGAACTTCGACCGAGCTCTTGACATTAAGGATTACAGGTTACCGTATTTCAAGTCAGAGCAAGCTAATCTTATACACGTGTCTATTGCCATGTTTTAATTAAATACAAGTATATCAAGTATTTCGCAACTTCCAATACCATTTAAAATAAATTCTTATATTCATATATTCGTATATCCGTGTAGGATAAGTTTTTTAATGGACGCTTTAGACGAGGCTGAAGAGCAGTATCAGAGGAACGTATGGTCACACATCGAGATCATAGATCAACTGTTGGAAACATACAGGTAGCAACAGCTAGCTCGAAGCTAGAAACTGAAAGTTCTTAAATAACACTCGAAGCGAGTCGGTGTATCTTGAGCTCATCGCTGCGCATAGGAAGAGAGTACAGCGCGAAGAGAGGAATTACCAAAGAACTTTATCTGAAACGGTCAACCAAGCGAACACTGAAATCAGTAAAATCGATCGTCAGTCGAACGAGGACGAGACCTTGATGGAATCAATCACACGCGGCGTTGAACGAAAAGGAGAGGAATCACTGGACAACATCAAGAGCATTACGCTCAGTAATGTTATTAATCCCGTTAATTACTATATTATATTTCCAAATTCCATTTATTTTAGATAATTATATATATATATATTGCAAGTTCTAAATCACGATTCGACATTTGTATAAAATATGCGAATAATTTGTCATCCATGTGACTAACTTAATTATGTTACTTAATGTAAGCAAATATTTTAATAAGTTGCAGTTATTTTTCGACCTCTGAGACGATTTGATCGTTTGATTCAAATTTACTTGTATAAGAGTTTAGTCGATATTAAAGCGAATCGCATCGCATCAATTCGAAAGGTAAAATCGACGCGTTCGTACAAGATAGCAAGGATCTTTGCAGAATTTCCGCGGGTCAACTGGAGAATCGATTGCGAAGCTCGTGGGATAATCTACGACGAATCCTGTCAGATTATCATAACAGTAAGTGAGCACTTGTAATTTCTATAAGTAAACATTTTAACATCTTTTTCCACACTTATCGGCCGATGTAACGTCATTTCAGAAACGAAGAATCGCCGAAAATGTTACGAGACGATTAAAGAAAAGGATGAAAAGGATCAGCAAGTGATAGCGCAGCAAGTAATGCGCACGGGGAACCTCTGCGAGGAGATACGAAAACTTCGTGGCAAGATAACAATGTACGATGCCACAGCCAAGAAGAACATTTCCGAAATCCGAATAGAGTACGATTTCTTTGAGAATGCTTATTGGACTATGAAAAACCGTTTACTCTCAGGTGAACAGCCATCGTCACAATCTCTCGGTTCGTTTTCGCATAACGTCTCTGCAAAGATATAAGTTTTATAACTTCTTAATATATCAAACTGTTATTACTTGTTAAAAAAACGTTACAAACGATTTCTTATTGAAAAAAATGCAAAATGATCGTTCAGAGCAAACGAAAGATCAAGATCAGTTGAAGATATTGACGATTGAATATAACAAGACAATAAAGCATCTAGAACGTCTCGTACCCAAAGGCAAACGACTGCTCACGTTGATGCAAATCTGTCGCAAGTATGAAACGGAAAAAGAGAAGGTAATTCCGTTCGATTATTGTATGGAAGTGAAAAACTCGCTAATACCATCGTCGCAGCAAGTCTCAGTTCTATCAAACTTGGATATGACTCATCAGGTTATTTGATTCTACAATCAAAAATACGCAATGAAAATCACGACATTTTTAAGAACGTTTCGTAATAGATCATGGAGGATTATCAAGATTTAACGAATTTCTGGCGACGAGTCGGTGCTGCGCAGATAAGCACTATGCAATTGCGATCGGAAAAGGATAACTTGAGGAGTGAAGCGAACCGCTTGCGCGAATATCTTCATTCTTACATGACGCAGAAAGTAAGAGGATAGAGTGAAGTACAAAATAATTTAATATCTCCCCCTGTGAAACAAATATATTCCATCACGTTTTAATACAGCTGCAAACTCAATGACTATTTCATCAAGCAAGATATTGCAATCGTAGTGGCAGCCATCATTATTAACATACACACACATATATATATATATATATATATATATATATAAATTTTCACATAACTTACTTATTCCAAATATAAACGCAAAACTTAGCATTTACTATTTTATTCGCTCTTTACTTTGTGATTATTATTTAAAATATAATGATATAGAAAAAGGATTATATATATATGTAGAGATGGTTCTCTTTAGAAAGTCGCTATTATCGTGCTTTCCAGAACTGAAGTTTAAATTTGCAAGCTAGAATATAATTCTAGTCATCATTGGCAAGTCTGTAAGTCGCTGACGCGAATATAAAATAAAAACAAAGTTCTCGACATATCTTCTCATACCGTTGGACAATAATAAAGAAATGTAATAAACAAAATACGATACCTCGTACTCTATATACACCTGCGGCAAGTGAAAAAGAAAAAAAATTCAACAACGTTTGACTATGTATCGGCCACTTGAAACTGATGAGTCTTTTATCTATTATGCACTTCCTTGCATTGTCAATCGCAACTGCGATACGATATTCAAAGTCTTTGCACGTCCAAGCGTCCAAACTATCTCAACGTTGCAACGTATTCCTGTGCGCTATGTGAAACAGCATTTTATTGCCAGCAAGGAATGTAACGACGCCCAGAGCGATAAGACATTTCAATGTGACGAACATGTTGAGCTTCAGCCAGAAGATACCAAACAGTACGAAGATACCTACAAATAAGAGAACCATAAATATTAATATTATATCGATATCACAAGTATCGACTTGTTCAACAGATTTAAAGGAAATGAAGCTCTACGATACATGTAAAATTTAGTGCAGTGTAGTGAATTACGGGCTACAAATGTGACTAGAAGTACGATCACACTTGCGAAAACATCACGATTTACTCTACGCCCGAGCAAAAACAGATAGACCTACGTACACACAATCATCTGTCAAGCAAAATCGGGCACATTAACATACAAACTTGCATACACACTTTATCAAAAGTCGATATATTTACCTCCTAATCCAAGGTGAAATGCAATCGCGCTGGGAGATAACGGGAAATTCGAAATATTGATACCCAGTCGAGCCCACAAGATCAGCAACAGCACGACCGGCGACGAGCAAAGTCCCGTAAACAAATTCGATACAAAAGCAGGAGGTCTACGTTCAGGTTCACGGAACATATGCTGAAATTAAAAACGATAAATTTTAGAGAAAAATAATTCAACAGTTGTGATTTATATCTAACAAGATAATGTTTGTCAAAAGGCATAATTTTACCAAATATCAAATTTGGAAACATATATTAATTTTGACACATTAGTTTGCCAATGTTTTGGAAGTGACAAAATCACCGAAAGATCTCTGCCGCTAACGAGCATTGGCGTATTTTATAAAACTTAAATGAATATATAAAGAATTACCTTTATCTCCGGCTTGGTAGTATACACGTTTGGCCTCTGCTTGTAAGGGGTATTCTTATCAGTACCTTCCATTGATGTCACCTCAGGGAACTTCAAAGTCACCGTGCCGATGTTGAAACGGAATGGATTGCTGATCACTGCGTCGCCAACAATCAATTCTATATCATAATCACCACTCTGATGACCGAAATTCATAGCTGCTGTTCCCACTGGCTAAAATATCATTTGCAAAATTTATATCACATCAAAACAAGTCTTTGTATGAAAGGATAAATAGCATTAAAAATAATTACCATATCGAATTTATAGACATGAGCAGTATCAGGCTCAGCAACAAAAAAGATTTCATGGCCGCTTTGTTTGTTATCGGTAGACTCGGCAACCGACGTCAAACGTACAAAAGCTTGATGTACACGCATTGGTTTTTTATTAGCGGAATCTCGAAGCAAAAATCGCATGACTAGTTTTTGCTGAGAGTCAGCTTCTATCTTGTGTTCGAGTTTACCCGAAAGGGATTCTGTATTTATTCTAAAACATGATACCATAGTTAGAAGTATGAAAGAATATATTTCTCTCTCTCTCTCTCTCTCTCTTAAAATGTATAAAATTTATATGAAATCACGAAAAATATTATCGTACGAGTACCTTGTAAGTTTCGGTTGAGTAGTTTGATCAGCATCGCCAGTACCGATTTCCAAGTAATCCAATATCGTTTCAGATAAGACTTTCACGGTAACCAAATTTGTAACAGACGCTGCGGTTATAGAGATTTTATAAAAACCGCGATCAGGCTTAACACTCATGAGGTTCATAGTGAATAGAGTCCTACAAAGAAACACAAAACATTACATCAAAGTATATGACACGATACATGTAAAAAATAATAAAAATATTGTTTGCTGAATTTCTTAACTTTAATTATATAAAAAAAAAGTTTAAGGGTTTATTCAACGACATTACTATGCCCCAAGGTATAGCTGATATCAGCATAAAAAGGCTGATCCAGTAAAGTATTGGGGACTACTAATCATATGTTTTGCAATACCCATGTAAAACAAGAAACTGATTCCTTATAAAATATGCATAGATGATTGTCCTACTTATAAGGAATAATTTTACATAAAAAAAATTTATAGTACATGCTCATATTCTTATTAAACTGTCTTTTAAACTTTACTTACTTATCATTTGGATGCTGCTGCAAATTTTCCTTACTCAAGATAACGACATCGTCTCCTACTTTCGTGGCGGAGTTTGCAACAACCTTAGGTACAGTTGGCAGTGCTTGATCAAGAATATCGCAAACCTTGACTGTGACTAACGGTTGCAGGTTAGAAATACTGTTTCCTCCATCAGCCAAAGTTATGCAAACAGGCTTCTCAGCACTATCAACAGCCAAAGTAGTTAAAGCAGAGAGCAAGTTTGTAACACCCTTCGATGTCTGGACGGAACGCCGTGAGAGAATATAATTAGAGAATTTGACAGTCTGTTGGAAGTTCAATGGTGGTTTTTTGTTCAATGAAGTCGATAATTTGTGAATACCATTGACAAGGAAACCTAAAGGAACATTTGTAGTTAATTAGAACACAATCAATATATAGAATTAAACACAAAGCTGCTGAAAGCTGTACTTGTGATGGAAAGGCCACCCTCAAACTGCAGGTATTGGCCATCCACTTCGTCGGCTTGCACTACAGCATCCTCAATACGGTCGAAAGCAAATGTAGCTGGAGTGCCTATGTCCGCAGCGATATGGAATGTGTAACCCAAGCTAACAATATAAAATTGACTCAGCTTATATATCATACATGGTAAAGACATCAGCAACTTCATATTACTATTACACATAACATGCTATAACTTACTTCCACAAACCATCATCTTTTCGCAAAGCTGCTTGTATTTGTTTGACTAATTTGTCAACTCTGGCAGTAGGTACTTTCTGTGACAGAGCTGTTAAGCCACTTACAGCATAATATAAATCAGACAGAGTAGAAGTATCCTTCTGGATAGTATTTGTCAATACCTATACATATTTTTGTCATGTAACATACTGTGTGATTTACAAACACTATATTTAGTTATTAAACACTGTGTTCAGTAATAATCATTATCTTCACTGTTTATGCAGTAGAACGAAAGTTTTAAACATCATTACATTACTATATATCACTAGATATATATCTTATTATTGCTATTGTTATACATTACCTTTGTCAGAGTACCTGTAGAAAACTCTTGGCAGTCTGCAATAGCTTTCCATGTAGAAGCCAGATAGAATGCTGTTTCAGATGTGATATTCTCCTCATTGGACTTTATTAAATACTTACAGATAGCCTAGAAACCAAGCCAATGCTATTAACATAACAGAATATTATGCATATATACAATAAAGAAAAAATACTATTATCAGTAAGACTAATCTTATAATCACAAGGTTTCAAGAAATATATTTTTCATCATATAATATTTCACATATATATATATATATATTATTTCTAAAAAATACTACATATCGAATAAAAGAAAATAATTACATCTGTTTTGGGTATAGCTTCTCCAAGAAACTTATATCCACTAACAGCATAGTATACAGTGGGTACATCTTGTAACTGAAATCCTGGCTCAAGGATATTTTTCAAACGGGCTTTGTCAGCCACCGACAAATATGAATTTGTGGATAGCAAAACTTCTGCATGTGTGAAATATGTACCTAGTGTCGCCAGCACCAGTGGTAATACGGTTACTAAAAAACAAACAATAATAAAATCGTTTGTTTCTCTTACAATTAAAATTAATTTTAAAAATCCATAATCTAACATAACGTACTTTGTTCTATCCGGCGAGATTGCAGTTAAGCCTAACGCCAAGTAAGCACAAATGAATTTACCGTCAAATACATTCCAAATCAAACTTAGAACGTGTAGAATCCCATTATCACACATTATTTAAGTGGAAATTGCAAATAATAATCAATAAATTAGAGAAATTACGCTACAAAGTTTTGCCGGACACGCGGCATAACCGACCATTTGAGCCGACCTGTGCGGCTAAAACATTCGTGCTTTTTTATGTTAGCACGATTCCGCTCTAATTAAAGAACGAACGACGTCACAATTGCACGTATTTACACAATACTCACGGATAATCATTTCGATCCTCAGTACGGCTCTCAATCCGTCCGCCACGTCGAACCTCCGAACAAAATGGCCTTACCTTCTCCATTGCGCGTGTCAGGAAAAATGGACGATAGTAACGATTTGCCAGTCCGGAAATGACCGTGGCTCCACGACAGTGGAAGCTTCGGATACTGGCGACTTTTGCGGGTCAAATAAGTACTGCAATTAAAAAATGCCGCCAAGGATGGCGGCATTTCATTTCTAGTTCAATTCTTGAGCCGGAGGTACATCTAGATATCTGTGCATCGTGACTCGAATCTGTGACAGCGATGTTTCAAAATACGTATATTTGTGTGAAAAGTTGAAAGAGAGAGGAGCAAGTGACAAATGATAATAAATCAGTTTAACAGGTAAAAAAGAAAGTAGTTTTAGTTTGTTATGATTATATTCTAAAATCATAATAATTTAATAATAGGATTATTCTGTTTAGCCGCAATCTCTATAATTTCTTGCACTTGTACCATTTTTCATTCAAGTAAAACTTCAAATATAAATTTATTTTATTTTAAATACAGGAACAATATGACGCGTCTAAAAAGAACAAATCTAATAATTGACTAGAAAAGTGAATATACGGGATAAAATTTTCAAATAAATCTCATACGAAAATTTTCCATTTTTAAATTTCATTTTTAAATTTCATATATTTTGCTTTCAATTAAACGAAATTACTTATCTATAAATACAAATTAAATTTAACAAATCTTAGCATTGTGTGTGTGTGTGTATGTGCATTTTTCTTTTTTTTAGTGAGAGAACCGAGAAAAAATTATTAAACAAATAAACTTCAATATCAATATTAGGAGTTAACAAGGAGTGATATTATTCCTTAATCCTTTATTATAGACATTCGCCAGTTAATCGCTAAATGCGGTTATTATGTGCAATCACGCATTTATAAAATTGTTATAAATTTTCTGTAACGTGTGTCGCGCAATACGCTCTGTGATTAATATAAATTGTTGCTTTTACACATAATAATATAATACGGGCGTGCTATTGTTCAAGCACGGAGAGAGAAGACAATTAAACAAATCAATAGTCGCATATACATATACGTGATTACTTTTATAATTGAGGTTAATATCAATAATATTAATATATAATAATCGTTACGCTGTATCACCCGAAAATCGTGGTACAAAAGTGGGGGAGAAAAGTAAGACGAAAAGTAATCCTTAAAAAATGATCCTTAAACGTAGATGTAGTGTATAATAAAGGTGTCCTACGAACATATAGCAATCCCATCAGAGTACGCTAGATTATAATGATGCTCGTTAATCGTATTTAAAATTAAATAGCTAGATTAGCTCAGCACTATCATAGCCTGATAAACGACAAATAAAAATTCAGTTCTTTTCTCTACGTTCCTCGACTATACGTAAAAAATACAAAAACATCTTCGCGTATGTAATCTTCAAACACAAGTGTTCACAACTATTTTATACAAAGAGACGCGGAATTACGACTTCCGCATTAATTGCGATATTGCAAAAATTACTTCGTATGTAAACGTTGACCGATGTTATCGATTGCTTTGCGGTATATGTTATATTTTGCATTTCGCTAATCGATAGAGATGGAAGAAACATACATGGGAAGGTACATAGGATATAAGAACGGCATGTTAAACGTGCGCTATATGTTTTCATCTCTCGAAATACAAGGTGAGTAAGCGTGGCATGGCAAATGGAGGCAAATGTCGTTTGAGTTTCATTAAAATCATCAAATGAAAAATTTTACAAAATATGATTTGCGAATTATACATAAATCACGACATTCAAAGTTAGATTTAGAAAACATCACATAATACCATTAAAATATAAACGTAAACGGTTCTATCACCGTTAAACATTAAAAATCGATAGAGGCATATTAAAATTCATATTGGATGACCTGTAAGTTGCGACAAAAATTGGAATAAAATTTTGTGATTTTATGCGCGATATAATATGAAGAAAAAGAAAAAAAAAAAGAAAAAGAAATGTGAAGAATCAGAAAATTACACACACGCGCGCGTGCGCACACATTTTTTTAAGTTTCCCAAAAGAATGTCGCAAATAACAGATCGTCTAAGATTTAGATAATTTTGATCTTCGCAATTCATATGTTACGCTCGTCCACAAATAACTGTGTATAGTTAAACGCTTTGAATAATAATGCTCGGGTCTTTGCGGCTCGGTAAAATTTTCGCGTTATGGAAGAGAGAGAAATGATAAATTTACAACTAGTATATTGTATGTATACGGATACACGTCGTCGAATTTATATGCATCCAACATTAGCCAGAACATGTATGAATCACATGTAACAGCCAAATTATTTATATGTGATCGCTATCTGATCAAACACATTGATGTAGAACAACTCCTTATGTACATTGGCGAAGGTACAGGGTATGCACTTTAAAAAGCTGGCGCACTTTTAGTTCACAACACTTATCACATCGCACCTAAACAAAAAATTGAAGAATCACGTCGTAAAGCAATTGAATTTCCAACGAACAAGATAGTTTATACTTGCATAAACTGTTGATTAATCTTCTTTTTTTTTTCGAATTAATTATCTAATAATATCTACTCTTCCTTATAACATCGCTGTTTCTGAGAGATCAATATTTATTCGACAACGAAATCATAAATTTGGGCTTTAAAGTGAATCCGACCTAATGTGAAAGTTTCGGCTGACCATTCTCACAGAGAGAGACAAAGAGTCTTTAATAAAATATATTACAGAGACTTTTCGACTCGCTTATATATATATACATATACATACCCGTTACATGGAGACATTGCATGTCAAACATGATCATAAAAGCTGAGCTTTTTTATTCACCCTTCGCTTTGGTATTTACAAGGATAACACGCGCGCGGATGATAACATTCTTGACAAACGATCCGGCGCATGCGCGCGTGAAAACCAAGCAGTGTCTATGCCGCGACTTTTCACGCTCTTCTACAGTTTCTACAGTAATACACATTGATAACGCTCCTATAAACTGCACTTGTACCACCGTCGTTAGAAACATCTTCACACTTATCGTTAGATAAATTTATCAACTTACCTACGTAAAACTTACTCTGTATCTCTCGCTGAGACGGAGAAAAGAAATTTATTCGCCGGTAAATTCCGAGCTCTGGAAGATGGAAAAGTCTCGAGAGATACACGCCGTTTCGTCGAGAGTAAAGTTCGTAGAAAATTCGCTTAATAGCAATCAAAGGATGCAATGGATAGAGAAATGGGCCGGAAGTGGGATGACGTAAAGGGCTCTCAGTGTCTTTCGCAAATAAAGCTCTTGTACAAGTCGCACCGCACGTGTAACGTGCCGCGTTTTCATTCTTATAAAGTGAATCAGTAGTAAAGAAGCTCTTATATATATCTACATCCAACGTTCGTTGAAGATGCACAACGTGTGTATCTCAGAAACGCAATTCAGAGGGTGAAGAGCCAACGACGAATGTTCGTTCATCATTCAATACATACAAATGCCACACGATGATGCATTCATCGATTATGCGAATTTTCTCATATCTCTTACTCTCTCCTTCTCACACACACACACACACACACATACAGCTCTCTCTCTCTCTCTCTCTCTCTCTCTCTCTCTCTCTCTCTCTCTCTCTTTCTCGTCACACAAAATTATCGCTCGAGCGAAGCCCTCGAACGTTTCTACTGTTACGGACTTCTTGTACATTTATGTTACAAGTTACAGTTATCCATTTCTTCTGCGACAATCGTAGCTACTCAATGCATGTGGAACGGTATGTATATATGTATACAGAAATACGATGATGATCGCAGCAATTCGATCGATTTATTCAGGCGGCCCCTGACCCCAGCGCGACTTTGTCCTCGCCGATTTGGTAGGAGAGGCACACGTATTACCGTCATCGCTCGCCTTCCGCTTGACACTCAGCACAATGCCGCTCTTGGGGGTGAGTTTTGAGCGAGCTGATGCGGACGCCGTAGCTTTAACAGCGTCTAAAGCCATCGGCGGGGTGGAAGGAAACACAGGGAAGTCCTCGTCCTCGAGACCAGGCGGCTTCGGTTGCTCGGGTGCGTAGCTCTTCTTGAAAGAATCCTGAGAGCTAGGCTTGTATACTGTTTTAATCCCTTCAGCTTCCGGCGAGAGCGGTAACGACGGGAGCACCGATGGTTGTGGTGAAGATAATACAGGCAGATCGCTTATTGGAGCGATTGGCGATGACGTCAGTACAAGACTCGAAGTGCTAGGAGAAGTAATCAAAGTTGACGGCGGTGGTACAGGCGCGATGGGTATCGTCGATGTCGCCGCAGCAACCGCAGCCAACTCTTCCTCCGCTTTCTTGATCAGATCCAAGTCACTCAAGGTGCTCAACGTGCTCTTGCTCTCCTTTGTCGGGGTCTCCGGCGTTATCTTCTCCGGTTGGCTGATTCTAGAAGATGAAGACGGTGAATATTTTTCCGTATTCTGATAGAGTGGCCCTGTGGTGCTGACCGTTCCAGGTAGGAACGACGCGCTAGGCTTAGACGGTAGATAAGGGTCCACTTTGGATGATTCCTGCCGCTTCACATTCGCTAAGATCTCCTGCAGATTCGGCGGTATAGTAATGTCCGAGACCTTGTCAAGGATAGGTTGCGCGAACTTGGAGATTGGCGGAGGCGGCGTGAAGGAACGTACATCCGACGGGCTGTAAGCTTCTTCGCAGTCATTGCTCGGTGGATCCAATCCCAGACCCTGAAACAGTGTACAGATGTAGCGATAACAAGTATCGATGAAACCTGATAATGTTAATCGATTGTCAACACAAGTCGAATCGTAGCCTTCATTATCTGTCACGCGCGCGATAGTCAATAAATGAAACACAAACATAACATCTTTGACTAGTCTCGGATTTACATCTCATCGGCACGATGTTACTCGAAGTGATAAGAAATTGACTTATGAACTTTGTGTAATATTTTTAACTAAGAATAGAACGTGTTTCAAACGTGTTTGCAGATTTCGTGTAAAAAGGTTTCGTATCGTGTATCACATCATCGAGTAGAATCAAAATGACAGGAGAACACAGAGCTACTGACAGATCTCTACTTCAATGAACATGTCGGTCGATTAATATATCACTTGAAACGCTATACATACATGTGTATAGATACACACGTACTATTCAAATATATATGTTCGTCTGGTAATTAATATACTGAATTCTGTACACTTTATAGCCCAAACTTGACAAACATATATAGACATATATTACTTCTTGCAATCGTACAAGAGTATCGATATCAATTTAATACAGCAAAATATGTTAGGGAAACGACAGTAGAAACCGAAAAGCCATCGAGACACTCTTATCGCAGAAACTACGTTTCTGAATTGCGATATTATCACGAATGTGATGTTATCACAGTTCCTACCTTGTAGAAAAACAATTTATTTACATCCAGCTACATATACTATGACATATAAGCAACAGTTTTCAGTCTTCTTACTCTCATTGTTAAATATGTCCAATCTCGACTCGACCTCGTCGTGTGTGTTTACTGGCTATTCCTTAAGAAGAAAAAGAAAAGACCACGTTCTCTCAGAAGTAACAATCTAAGCAGCTCAGTGACGCGGGATGGATGGGACGGCGGGATAATGATAAATTCAAATCAACTTTATTTACAGCAGGACAACGGGAAAAAACGACGGTAATAACAATCTCGAGACATACGACGTGAAAAATGAGTCTTGCGAAAATTCTCACCGGCAGGGTGGCTGTCGTCTCGCCGAGAAATGACGAGCTAATACTCTGTATCTGTTGCTTTTGCTCCTCAATCTGTCGGTTCAGTTCGTCCATCTTTCTCTGCAGCTCCGTGGAGTTGCTATTCTTGCCGGACGAAAGGATACCGGTAGCTGAGTCATTGGTGTTTATGTCATCATCCATCTCGCCAGGGCTGTACGGTTCATCGCCGTCGTCTAAAGTGACTTTGCTAGGTGACGACGTAAGGTCGATCTTCGACGACAATTCCGGCACAATCTTGCATATAGTCGCGGTGTCGATGATGCCACGCGAGGACATACCTATGTGCGCCTTGTTCAAAGATTCTAAAGTCATCTGCGTCACTGTCGTCGCTGGCTTCTCCTTTGTGGAGTCCAATGCGGAGGATACTTTGTGATGGAACAACATAGGAGACGACGACGACGACGACGATGGTGGCGGCGACGACGAGGACGCCGAAGTCTTCTCTTTCGGCACGTTGACCAAAGGCGGCGTGTAACTTCTGTCGGAATTTTCCTTCTTGGATACCTTTGAGGGTACACTCGATGGAATAGTTGACGTACGTTTCTTCCTATTGCGAACAATAATACCGAGCAATAAGTGCGGTCTATGCTCCTCGAAACCCGGTCCAATAAGCGGTAGAAGTACCGGTGGTATCGTACTCTGACTTGAGAAAGGCATGATGTAAAAGTCCTTTATGTTTTTGGAAACATTACCAACGACGCCCAGACGGCTCCTGCTGTTCAAGTAGCTGTACAAGGTAATGTAAGGAATTTTTTCCTCGTCGTTTGCAGCAGTTAGTCGGATGATCAGAATCTCCTTCGAGCCTGTTCTCTTCATCTTCGAAATGTAATCCCAAACGGTGTCGTGACTGATCCTGCCGACTACATCGACGGTGTCCGGTAAATCGTCCATGAGATCTTTGGCGTTGCCACTCACCTCTTGCGCAGTGATGAAGAACTTCGCAACATCGACCATATTAACGAAACCACGCCACACGGTCTGTGAGGTTCCTTTCAGCACTTCTGTTCTAGTCTCCGTTTCCTGCTCTTTGTCCCTCTCAGGCTCTTCGTTAATGTCAGGAGTTTTGATCGTCACGGTGGAACTTGGTTCTCTGTCGGATACGTCAGAGTCGTTTCCATCGATCGTGTTTGTCGTCTCGTCTTCAACATGTCGCCAAAGACGATCCTCTATCGGTTTCTCCGCGGTAGGCGGTGGTGAGACTTCTTTCTTCTTCTCCATCTTACGCTCATCCTCTCTCTTATCGATGTCTTTAGACTCTCTACTTGTGCTGCGATTTCTCATACGGCCGTCATTGCCCATCTTGTGTCGGTCTCTTTCGTTCTGTCTACCTCTTTCTCTACTGTCCTTTCTGTCTCGATCCTTATTCCTTTCCCGAACCTTGTCCTTGTCACGTTCCTTGTCTTTCTCGCGTTTGCTCTCCTTACCTCTGCCCGACTTTTGCTCCTTACTTTTATCGCGCGTCTTGCTGCGATCTCTGTCTCTGCTATGACGATGCCGACTGCGACTTCTTTCCCGTCGATCCTTGCCCTTTGACCTGTTGCTGTCGCGTTCCCTGCCTCTCTCTTTGTCCTTTTTCCTTCGTTCGTCCATGCCATTCTTGGATTTTTTCGCGTCTGTTCGTGACTTTGATCTATCATCTTTGTCCTTATCCTTGTCCATGTCATCAACCGTGGAGCTTATGCTGTCACCGCTATTCAATGCAGTAACTATATCTTGCACCGACGTTTTAGGATCAACGTGATCGATCCCACCATCATTTTCGATTATCTGCTCGCCCTTGTGAGTTTTTACGACGATCGACTTTGCTTGCGCCATCAGATCCAACTCGTTCTTCTTAATCATCTCTAATTGATGCTTGGTTTCTTTCTCCCGCCATTCCGCTAATTCCTGACTAGCCATCTCGTCTGGACTTAATCGCACTACCGCATCTGGCGTCAGAGAACGATCTGCAATCTTTCGGAATAACGTCAAGTTCTTGGTATCCTTTATATTGAACACTAAACTCCTATACTTTGCCTTGTACTTAGCTCCAGTATCTTTAAAGTACTTGTACATCTCAAGTTCTATATTGAATGCCAAATCTGCGATCTCCTCGTCTGTCAGCTTCAGATCCTCGGTTTCTTTTATACGACTGGACAGTAATTCCGTCAACGACTTCCGAATATTTAATCGTATGGGTTCTGTTTCGGGTCTCTTCACCGGCGTCAGTTTAGTCTGTTGCTTCGACTGAGATGGCAACGACTTCGCAGGTTCTTGCTTCTTGATTATTATCTGCTTCGGCGTGCTTGTTACCTGGCTCTTTAATATCGTTGGTGCGATGCTCTTCGGTGACGTTGTTTTCAATATCACAGGGCTCTTACCCGAAGTTGTGATTATTGTCTGTTTCAGCTGCACTGGCTTGCTGCTGCTCGACGCCATGCTCACTTGCTGCATAGCGGGAATTATTGTAACCTTTTTATTGGGTGCCAAAATTGTTTGCTTTGACCCAACTACTTTTGTATAGATCATCTTTGGCACGGTTTGCACTTTAACTGGAGACAGCTGTGTAATTTTTGCCTAAAAACAAAATTCGTCATTTCGTTTGCTTATTTAAGCATACAGCGATAAGTATAGCTAATCTGAAAATTAATTTAAATAATATAATAATTTATTGTAATTTCTGCTGGTTCTAGCTAAAAGTTCTAGATATGTAGCTTGAAAATTTACTTTGTGGATTATTATTATAAAATAAATAATTACAGTATTAAATCTCTAACTAGAATTCTCTACAAAAATAATCGAATTTTTATTGTGTATTTATCATATTTATCACTTCTCAACATGTTTCAATTATTTCTTTTCTTAATGTTATGATATCAGTACACAGTAATATATTTTACATATTCTTGATCTATACTGATAATAATTTAAATCTATTTGTACTTTATTATTTTTTTACTTTATACGTACAGTTTTTCCAGTTGTTTGTATTTGCGTTACAAGCTTCCCGCCTATCTGAAGCGTGTTAAGACTGCTAGCTCCTACTACCTCGTACGTTGGATTTTCCTTTAACCATGTCCGTAAATTGGATCTTGTGGGAGCTTCCGCGCCTACGATATAAAAAATTAATGATTCGTATATGTAAATAGATATATGTAAATAGAAATATATTCTTGCATAATCTTTATAAATTAATATATTTACTTACCGGTGAGAACTTTGCCGGTTTTCCTATCGAAAACTATCACTCTCGCCTCAGGTTTCGCTTTTACGGTAGGTTCTTGAGTCACAGGCGATTTTATGGGTTTTATACCTGATCCCGTTGGTACAGGTTTGTCTTTAGTCAAAGTCTCCTGAGCATGTGCGAGAATACACGCATCCGAACAATAAATGCTTGAATTTCTGGCTTCCTTTTTACAAACAACACACTGCATCGTGCCAGAAATTGGGACAGCGCAATCAGCGGACGACACTGTCGGTGGTATCTCTTTCGGAGATGGGACAACCTGCGATCCCACATTATCGCTCGTTGGTAGCTCGATCTTTATTTTCTGTTTTACAGGTGATGCTTGTTGTAAACTCGATTTTTTCTCTTCCTCGGTTTTTTTCCTGAGACAATTCGGACAAACCCACTCTATGCCCTTTTCTTCCATTTGTTGACCTGCCAAAACGTACGTATGTGAATCATGAACTTAATCTCGTTAATTTAGATCTCTAGAAAGGTCTTAGTAGACTACTTACCCATAGCTTTACTGACGTGTACACATTTCCCATGGAACCAATCTTCACAAACGTCGCAGCATATCATAAACCGATTGTTATGTGGTCGTTTGCAGATGCACCATAATCGGTCTGGATCGTCTTCTGAATCTGAATTCTCTTCATCATCATCATCATCATCATCATCATCTTCTGCATTTACGCTCGTTCGTAATTCTTCTTTATGTATTATTTGTTGAATTTGAGAGCTATATATCGACGTGAAAAATTAATATTGAATAGCGACCGCATTATTTTAAAGAAATGAAAAATACCAAAGACGAAAAATTATAAAACGATATACTCACGTAAACTTCTCTATCTTCTTTGCTGGTTCGGGATTCTTCTGCTGCGTCTCAGCTTTTGCTTGAAGTCGTTTACTTCTAGTAGCAGGTGCTTCAATGGGCGGTAACGTGATCACACGACCACCCCGGACGATTTGTATCGGTTCTTTTTCATCTTTCATAGACTTCTTGCCTGCTTCTCGCGTGGTATTTGCTTGGGCATGTACACTCGTCGCTGTTTCCACTGGCTTGGGTAATTCTTGCTCGGACGACATCAATGTAGGCATGAGCATATTGCTAGACGTTATTGGTTCTGATACTGCTGGCGTAGGATCCACTAACGCAGACTACATATGACATAAGATATTAGTAGTAAGAATAAAGGTCTTAAAGAACAATTGATAATAAAATCGAGATATATAAAAACAAGCCCGCACATGATCAGCCAAGTCGACTCCAAGCTCCTCCTGCAGTAGTAACGCTTCAGCGAGTAGTTCCTCCTCATGTTTACTGGCTTCCATCTCTAAGGTGGCCAATAAATGTTCCTCACCTTCTATTCCACCTTTAACAAGCACACAAATTATACTTAATAATATCAGAATATAAATGTCATATTTGTGGAAAGGACAAAAACTAAAGAGTTTAAATTTAAATTGTAAGTCAGCATTGTAAACATAAACAATATTCTCTTCCGTACGGTATAAGTGTGAGTGAGAACTTACTACTTTTAGAAACAACATGATTTGGAACATGAGGTACCACGGGTTGAATATTTCCCTCTGACGAAGCGGTTTTTGGCACTAAGAAAACATACGATAGCATTGCAAAACATAAATTTCACATAGGCATATTGACTGTGTCAAGAACTCCTTGGCAATATAAAGTAACGCGAAAAGAAAATACAGGCGGAGAGGATCTTGGTTTAGTTGAGAACGTTATTACAGCGGCACGATGCGTCCGTCCTTCTCTTCGATTTGATAAGACGAAATAATACAATAGACAACAATAATTATAAACAAAAGATTCTACATTGGCGCTGCAATTGTAAAATCAGATAAAAACAATAGACAATAAAGTTTGCTTTAAAAATCACTTGCATATATAAAGGTACGAGAACTAGTACTGGAGAAAACAATATGAACCTGATCATACCTGTATCTAAAGATGGTTGCAATTCTTCAGCCAATGGTGTTTTAGTCGCTGACTTCGATTCGTTTTCACCCGCTGACGCTGTGTTGCTACCGTCTAGGCTTAATCGTGATTCCGCTTGAACGGACGATTCTACGGTACTTGACACCGTCTTTTTATTACTGAAACTGGGAACGTTCTGCGCTACAATCGAAGCAGATGTGCTCATGTTCAACGATGTCGTTGACGAAATAGAAGCGACTGAGGACCCGGATGCAGATACCACCGTTGCCGGAGGTGTTGTGGGTGTCGCAGCGTTATCCGACATTTTTCCTTCATTCGTACCAACACGTCGTATTATGTCTGGTGTCGAGAAAAGCGCGGGACCTAGAGTATCTGCTACATACGCCGGAGGTTTCCTATTTTCCTTCTTAAGATATTTCTTCGCGTCTGCAAAAGTACATTTCGACATTTAAAGATGTAATTCAACGATTTATTATTAACCAGCTAACAACCGATTGATACTGACTTTCTACTGCCTTGTTCTCCGCAAACTTCACAGGAGTGTCTTCTGACTTCGATAGTGACTCTGTGCTACCATCTAATTTTCTCTTTTCTTTCTTCATATCACTAAGTTTGATCTTTGTCGGTGTGCTACTGCTAGCCGATATGATAGTTTTCAATTGTTGTTGCACCGGCAATCCTTGATTGACGCCCTGCATAGATTGTTGTTGCGTTATCACAGACGTTTGCTGCTGTGTGAGTGTTGTTGTCTTCGCTTGAACAACATGCGTACTGATATTCGGAATGACCGTTTTCGATATTATTGGTACCTGTATCAATTTCCCATCTTTAGTCGCAAAGATTTTTGTGTTCGGTTGATTAACGAATTTCCCTTTAGAGACCATTACTGGCTTCTTAATACCAATGCTCTTTAGCTCGTTCGGTTTCATCAAAACTTGCTTCTGAACAAAAGTAACCTTCTGAGTACTTCTTCCTTGACCAGGTTTGGTCAATATCATGTCGCCCTTAATCATATTAGCGTTAATTAGATTTGCTTTCACTTGATTCGTCGTTTGCAGAGGTTTCTCCTGCACCACCGGCGTCTCTTCGGATACAGATGAAGATGTCTCCACAAACTGTGATTCCTCCTTCTTCTTACTATTAAGAGTTTTCACCAACCTCTTAGATTTGGTAGGACTAAATCGCTCTGAAAATATAAGTAAACATGTTATCATATAATAATATATGACAAGATGAATATTTTAAAATAATTTACTTTAGAATGTAAAATTATACCCCAAAAGAAATATTCAACTTTATATAAATTGAGAGATATTGCAGATAATATTTTAAATTAAACGTATTTTAACAAATATAAAATATTCCTAAATTTCCTTACATTTTTCAAGATATTATAAGTTAATTTCTTACTAACCGGATCTGCCATCTTTCTCGGAACCTTTCATCTCACTAACTGCAGCAGCCATTTCCATGTCTAATCGTCGCACTTGCTCCATATCTAAATGTTTATTTTGACCTCTTCTTCGAGAAGCCGCCATGCTACCACCCCTTGTGGTAAGACCCTTCCGACCTCCTCGAGCCCTGATATTTGCTCTTTTTGTGTTACGAGGTCCAAAATCTGAATCATTATCATTATCAGATGGAGGTTCTGATTCAGAAGATTCTGTAGATGAGTCTGTAAGTTCATCATCATCCTCTTCTTCATTATTCTTTTGTGCTGTAAAGATGATTATGATAGTCTGTGTATTAATATTAATGCAAAATACAAACAATAATATTGACTTTTTATAATATTAAATTACTTTAACAGTATATTATGTTATGTTACAACAGGATATATTTGTAATACCTTTGGTTGTTGTCTGCTGAATATTTATTATATTTCTTGAAACAGTATGTCCCGATAATTTGGGTGTTCCACCAATGTTTGTATTAGCTTTTGGAAGCACATTTACATTTGTAGGTGTAGATACAGAAGCTTTACGTACTGGTCTACCAACCTGCTTTACCTAAAATGTCCATGGAAACATTAACATTACCAAATTAATTGATCTTACTTTATAAATTAATATTTTGCAATATTTTGCATTTATATATTATATAGACTTACATTTACATTCTTGATGGTATTCTTGCCCTTAATTCCCACATTTTCTACATCACTGACAGTTGATGACATTACAGGTGTTCGAGGAGAAGATGGTTGATGGATATACTGCACATCATTAGATTCGGGCGAATCAGCAATCGGTAATGGGTCCCTCGGTATTGGATCACTGGGTGACAATCTAGTTGTGTAACAATGGTCCAATTGTATGCTATATCGTATTGAATTTTGTAACTCTTCTACAGACAACATATCTAAAAAGAGAAAAGTAAGTATAAGACTCCCTGCAATATAAAGCTGTAATAAGCCACATCAGAGAAATAAAAGGTGCATTTGTATGACTGCATGAGTTTGTGTATTGATGTTGATAAAATTCTATAGATATTGCTAATGAGAACAAAATACTGTTATATGTAGCATTGCAATCACATAAAGAACAAACAACACAGGAGTTTGAACAAAAAAAAAATAATATATAAAGTACCAAGCATTGCAGTGACATTTTCCCCGAGTATCTGCTTTGCCTCTTCACTTTGGAGAGCTGTCTCTAATCTTTCCAGTTGTTCTGGATCCATCTCCATAAAAGGATCTACCAACCCACCAAGGTCGGTACTGGCATTGGCGCTTACCGAGCTCGCTGTTGGATGTGTAAATGGCGGTGGGTCTACTGTCAAGGTAATGTCCCCATTTTCAACATCTGCCTCAGTTTGTCCTAGTCTTACCACGCTAACATTAGCATTCGTCTGATTCACTAAAATGTTGAAAGAATTTTGCAATATCTCATGAAATATAAATTATCAGGGAATTTTTGAAAAGACCTATTTAAAAGATCAATGTATAAAAAGAGTTAAGAAAGAAAGAACAAAGGCTGAAATATCAAACTCATATTGACTTCTAATTTCCTTTTACTCTCATTCGTTTACACGAATTTTTCTATAAATTCTGTAGCAACTACTTACTTATTAAATTCTGCAAAGTTGCCTGATCAACAGATATTGTTCCATCGTCATTGAAAACGATGATCAATGTGTCATCCTTCTTCTCAGAACCACCATCCTGTGGTTCGACAATATATGAACTCGACATATTTTCAACCTCTCTGACGAAAAAAAATCGAACAATGCGGTTATTTATACGACGCGTGATATCGGCAAAACAAAATACCGCGAAAAATTTACAACATAAAGCCAAGTATAATTAAGGTTATGACTACCTAATATACGCAAGAAAGCTACATTCGAAGGACTGCTAGAAATTTCTCCGGTTCAATAAGAGAAAACATTCCCCGTTGTTTAGTCATCCAGACGGCACGCAGCCGTATCGATGGAATGTCACGTTCCCTCATAAAAGCCTCTGGCCGCCGTTGCGACGTCGACGACGATTACAACAGCCGCCAACTGTACCACGATGTCACACAGTTACCTGCGTGAAACGAAATATTGAAAATGATGTGTCAGCAATCCCGATTCGGCAACGGTCGACTAAACGGCACACATCGGTACTATGCACCGCGAATGCAGTAACGAAGAATCGATAAACGTGCTTGCGACGTTCCCCTAACGAGTAAACAGTACCACCGAGGACGAGAGCGAGCGGCCATTTTGTTTGGCCAACGTCGTCATCGGCGGCAGCAATAATGATGATGATAATGATGATGGCGGTCTTACCGCGGCTTACCCTTTTTTCGCGCTGCTGCTTGTCGCGAGATGGAATTCTCAATGACGATCACGACGATGAAGCTCACGTCGATGCGATCTCGCACCGATTTGATGAGGAGCACTGTTCACGATTTCTGTTTAACGATTCATAGCACCGTACACCCACGAATCATGGCACTCCATTGCAACGCGCGGGGAATAGCGTACGTACTATACGAGCAGCTTCACGACCATAGTGCGTTCGCGCGTTGCGCAACTAAAAAATCAGATAGCGCGCGAATACCGCCGAGACTAAAGTTCCTCAAGTAAAAGTTAGGACACTGTCCGCCATTAATAGGAAACTGCAGCGCGTCATTCGAATCGTTCAAACCGTTCTGTTCAACTTATTGAAGTGAGAGACTATATTTCCCTCTCGTAAAAAATTAAGAAATTGCTATGCGATATATTATATTATTTATCATCGAATTTCACATAATGGGAATCACTGTAATCCGATTAACATATATATACAAAACATATCACTGCGATATAGGTTAAACATCAAAAATTAGATTCAGAATAAATTAAAAATATCAAGGAAAACATAGCGAAGTTCTAATAAATATATATGAGCTGCAAAAGTAACGGAAAGAAACTCGAGAATTCGATTTGTTTACACACATATCTACACGTCTAAATCCAGATTAACTAAATCGACGGTCATACTTCGGTTTTCGTAGGTACGTTTGTATAAATCATGTAACAAAATATAAACATATGTAATATATATACATTTATTCAATCATATTACATATAAAATGATAAATATATATAAAATGAATATCTACAAAAAATATTTTTAACTCTATCCTTACTTTGAAAATGAAATGAAAAAAAGATTAATTTTCAATTTTATTTCGATATCAATCGTATTTTTCTAAAAATCTATTTATGATAATAGCTGCAGGCTCTGCATGTGTAAGATGAAAATGATGATTTCCTGGTACTTCTTCATAATACACATGCTTATTATGTTGTTTCATTATTTGTAACGCGTTATGATAATCCTCTTTTAACTCTATATAAGGTGATTCAGTTCCTTTCAATATCAAATATGGGCATGTTATTTTCTTTGCAAAACATTCCAACTGTTCTTTAGAAAACAGGGTGTGAATAGGTATAATTCGTATTCTAGGATCTCTGTTGAATACATATGTTCCATCGTCTTTTTGATGAACTCCTCTGGTCATTAGTATGTTACTTGCTGCTTCATTCATATGTATATATCCTCCTAACCATTTTTCTTTAATCTTATCTTTTGTGTAACTAGGTTGACTGCCTGTGTTTCCTTCTAACTTTATGAGCGAGTTAATCACATTTCCAAATATGTCAGCATAATAATCTATATTCACAGCTATAAATTTGAAATAATCTAAAGCTATAACATATTGTACTTCTGCTGGATAAATTGCGGCATACCAATATGTTGTCATTGAGCTCAGAGAATGTGCTAATATTTTTACTTTTTCCCATTCAAAATATTTTACGATTCGTCTAATTAACAAAAGGTACACTATCTCAGTATATATAGATCCTGGTGGTAACCATGACGAAAAGCCATGACCAGGTAAATCAATTGACAAAACAGGTGTATTTTTTACTATAAGAGGTGCTAAATTATTAAATGTTGCTGCATTATCCTGCCAACCATGCATAGCTAGTATAGGCTGTTTATCCTGAGACCCCCATAATTTGCCTAAAAAATGATATATATCATACCATGTTTATAGTTATGCATTATATTTATAAAGTATACAATATTCACCGGTTACTTTACCCCATGGTACTGGAATTTCTATGTTTTTAGTCAAATGTGCTTCCTTTATTTTATTGTGCAATGTTCTCCACAACACCTTTGTACATAAATTTATTCCAGCACCAAAAGTTATCAATCGTCGAGCATACATCCTGTTAATTACAAAATACTACAATTATATCACAAATATAATTTTGCTTTGTAATAGACTTGCAAATGTCTTTGAAGTAAAAATCAAAATCCAATTTTTCTTGTCAATTTTACTTACTCAATCAGGTTATGATTGATTTTATCAGTACTATTTCTATAATAAAATAATCTTATCATTAGTTTGTTGTGACAATTTGATTGTTTCTATATTAAGTTTTACTTTAAATAAAATAACCAATCTGAATCTTCAAAAGAAAATTTCAAAAAATTCTTTAAAGATAATATAAATATAATTTACTCAAACTAATGATAATGATATAAATTAATAGTAAAAAATATATTTAATTCTTTAGTTGTCAATGATAAAAATATCTGTGGCAAGAAAATTACAAAATTATGGACACTGAATCATAGAATGACATAACAGGTGATAGAAAAGTAACGAGAATAGCATGCACTTTTCTTTTTGTGGATATTTCTTTTATTAACAGCTAAAAAGTTAAACTAATATAAGTATAATCAAATTCCCAGATAGCACCGGACATCCAATGGATGTACGTTTCACGTCCTATTTATGTCCGTATGTCCGATTTACGTCCATGGACATAAATTGGATATAACAAGGATGTCTTTATTTGGACATCGGACCTGTAGCACGTCCGAAGTTGTGACAAACGTACGTCCTATGGATGTCTTTTGTAAAAAAAAGTGGACACATAACGGACGTCCGTGTGCTATCTGGGTTGATAATACGATAAATTAAATAATTAAATTTAAATAAATATAAATTAATAATTAAATTAAATTAACTAATGAATTAAAAAATATTACTAAATATAATAAATATAATATCTTAAAATATACATGTCTAACATGATAATTTGCTTATTTGAAAAGTCTAATTTATATAACTAGAATATATACATCAATAACAGAATTATTATTCTACACTATTGTAAAACTGTTATTTTTTAAATGCAAGACAGAATTCTTCCCATTAAACGTTAATAAAAATTTATTTCAAAATTAAAAATTATTAACAGATAATAGACGATAAAATTTCAAAATTGTATACATATTTTATTTATTATTATGATTTTTGTACGACAAAACTTACATCTACTGAACGTTATTATTAGTAGCACATCATATGGGCTATGACGTTCGCTCATTCGGTATAAAGGCCAAAGCACAGACTGGCACAGACTTTGCCCGTACTCATACGCCACTCTCCAATATGAGCTATAACATCAAAGACGTAACTTATAGATCTGCGATCAAAATACCAATTTTTATTGGATGTACACACATATGTATCGATACTTCGAGTGCGGTCCGGGAATCGCTACAAATGCTTCGAAGCGGCACATGATGCTTGTTTCGTGCTGGATTGCTTGCTGGATGAAAATACTGCGTTCTGATTGGTGCATTTTCATCCATCTTCGAAAATATACCAATCACAACGCAGTATTTTCATCTAGCAAGCAATCTAGCACGAAAACAAGCACCGTGTGCCGCTGGATTTAAACGTGGTCTACAATGGATATATTCAGTACTACAACCGCTCACTGAGCACTCAATGAGCTTTTACATTTTGATTGGTATATTCCTTTAGATTTAAAAATATACACCAATCAGATGCAAGAGCTCACTTAGCGTTCAGTGAACGGTTGTAGTACTGGCTGCGTTCAGAAAACACAACGGTTACACAACGGTTGAATAATTCGTCGACGTTATTGGTCTGAATGTAAAGATCTAACAGTAAGGACCAATAGTTACTAAGCACTCAGTGAGCGTTTTGTTTTCTGAACGCAACCATTACTCACTAATCGACTTCGAGAACATTGACGTATCGCAACAATCGATACTTGAGTAACGGAATCTGAGACATCGATTACCGCACGGGTATCGATTCCTGGTTTTCGTCTGCACCTCCGGCACGCGTAGGTCTTTCAGATCTTTCTTCCGCAGGATTCAACACGGTAGGTAAGTTGTGCGGATTCATTTGCGATTTCGTATTAATTGTCACGTGTCTTTCAACGCGGCCCGTTCTGCGAATGATATTTCAAATTAGATCTGTCTCTTGACAAAAGTGAGCGCTATGAAAACTTATTTAACCTACGCTCTTGGAAATTAATTTCGTATAGTTTTCTATTCTTCAATATTATATAATTCCACCGGCTATATTTCGTGTGTCAAGATCTACGTAGCAAAGGAAAATCGCCTTGAAAGAGATACGTATCCGAGAATTGATCGCGATCCCAAGCGGAAATTCCGAATTTAGGATACGCGATTTTCGCCTAACCTCAATTTTCGCGCACTTAACCTCATGCCTCCTTCGCGAGATGATATGCATCAAAGGTCATCTCGACTTGGTATCTATCCAGGTTACTATTAGTGCATACACGCGAGAAAGAATCTTCGAACGATAACACACAGTTCCGAAGATTGCTAACATTATCTGAAAAATTATCAACGAGTTTACTTCACAGAGAAACGGCTATTGCATAACGGTGAGCAGGACGTTAACCTTCATTAATTTTTGCACAGCGGAAGTGAAACAAACCTCCATAGGGTTCATTCCGTTTGAATGTCTCCGGGAATCGATTGATCTTCCTCCGCCTAGTGTTTCAGGTATTCAGATTATACAATCGCGATAGTCGCGATAGTCACGGTGACGTTATCTTTGCAACTGATCAGAATAAGACCGGTCTGTACATACTGCTCGAGCAGCAGTCGTTTAAATAATGATAACGCGTGTTACTTCTCGTGATAGAGATCGTAGTCCGTATCCCGTTTCGACAGTGATCAGTTAACAGTGATAAGAAAACAATGCGAAAGCAAACATCGACTCTACGAGAGATCTACTTCTCGTCAACTCGGCTCGTATCGCTTCGTCGCTGCGAGCAATTTTCCACTCCTGTTTTCGCGGCATTCGCGATAACTCGTTATGCGCGCGAATGATGCAAGCTGCAGCCATCGAACAACGATTGGCTGGGCAATTGTTACTTTTCGCACGACTTAATTACTCTTAGGTATACCTCTATCTTAATGTCTGGCCATGCGGCAGAATGTTTTTCCGTATAGGCGTGACGCGATTATCCGAGTTAGCGTTGCTTGCATTTTCACGAGTCAATTTATATGTGCTACACGATATATCTAGATACATGCTTCATAGCATAAATTAATTAACGTTGTAAGGTAAAGGTACGCCGGCATATATACTTGACTCTACTTTTATAATTTTAGCCTTTAAATGTAAATATTTAAACGTCCAACGTGGAATACACACGCATATATCGAATATATGCATGTACATTCTGCGTTGAAAGTTTAAATATTCGTATTCGAGGGTGAAAATAATAAAAATGTCTAGAATTAGACCATGTCCCAGATGCATTTCCATTAAACATACGCGCGTAATTCGCTGTCTCTTCTAAAGTAGCAAGTGCAACTTTCGTGACATGTGTCACGTTATTTCGCGAGTATTCATGCGCACATTAATATGCTATTCAGCGGTAAGTTATATAAGTACAGTATATAGTAACAATGTATATCGCTTCGTTGGTCTTCATATTGCCTTTGCACAGAACAAAGTGCACCGCAGTCTTTTCGTTCGACGACGTCAAACGACGTCGTTTCATTTTTCATTCTCCTCTATCCCGGAGAATCTTTTCTTTCACATTGGGATAGTCTTTTCTAACATTTTCTGCCCAATGAGAAAACACTGTCTCGATGTTGCTGGTCACTTCGACTAATAAGAATGCGTTCTACGCAGTGACGAGACTTTTGCCCTCTGTGATAGTATGCTTCGTAAACACGCGTCTCTTCGCGTTCATTCGTTCACGTCGTCCTTCGCGCGTCAAGTTCAACGCAGTTGGCTCGCAGCAGGAATACGTCCAGCACGCTTTCGTCTTCCGCACGTGTCGCTTCGCGGAAAATAACAGAGAAATTCTGTGTGATTTACTCGTCGTTATTTTTTTGCTCGCCGATCTATGAAGTAAGAGTCAGTACGAAGAAGGTGGTTGCACTCGATATTCGGGAATATTTCTAGTACGAGGAAGTCCCGTTCTTGCCCAGAAAATCTCGAATTGATCTTTGAAGAATGAAGTACGTTAACGAGCGAATATTTGTTCTTTCAGAATACACGATAAAACCACAGTAACGAGCATGCATCCAACCTGTGCTACATTGTATGCTGTCCGCTTGACCTTGAATCAGGTAAATAGTTGATTTCACAACATTAATGAACACTGCTGAATCGAAATGGCTCCCATTAAATTTCGATTAAACGACTGATCGGCAAGGTTACGAACAGCAATCTTTAATTTGTCGTACGGCAATCAAATTAACAATTTTCGAGTCACCGGTGACTCGCGCCAAATTTTCTGTTCGGGCTGTTTGATAACTTGACTCCAAAGTGGAATTTAATCACGAAGTACTTCGATCGTCATTACGACGCACGTGTTATATTTGATAAATAAGATGTGATTCATGTTACGATAACGTGGATCACCGGTGGTCCACATGGACAACGTAAAATTGGCTGCCGCGAGATATATTAAACCAGTCGCCAATTAACCGATAAAATCGCGAACAGTGGTGATCTCGAACTTCAACAAATTCATATTTTTTAATCGTCGTTGAAATCAAAGTTCAGCGAAAATCATTCTCGATCTGTTTTCACGCTTTCATCTATGCGCAATAATAACTCCTCTCTTTTCTCCTTTTCATTTAAAATTCACTTTTTATACGCATTCACTCTCGTATTCACCTCGTGATATTAATAGTGATATTTATCAATTCCTTCTATGCACAAATGTTCAGCATTTATATCTTCTGGCTAACCGCATTGCTAACTATTTACGTGACTCAAGCCGATATATTGTACAAGTTTAAACCGTGTATATATATTGTACAAATCAATAAATATAATATATAGACGTACAAACATAAAACAGACACACGATAGGTATGAGATTGTAAGAAGAGTGCGATGGAAGGAACAGAGAGCTAAAAATATCCCCGGCGGCGAGTATCAACAAAACACTTCTCTCATATAATTCTCTCTGCTTGCAGGTAGCTGCTCCGACTTTCTACCGCAAGAGCATGGTGGATCGCAGCACCACTAGATCCGCGATTTTCCTCGCGACTGTCGGCTTGTCCCTAAGCATGTTCTCGTTGAAGCAGATGCAATCCTCGTCGAATCGTCGTCATCAACATCATCTGCAGAGAGCTTAGAAGTGACGATCGCCATCGTCACCGAAATACACGAACGACGAACAAAATCATTAGCTCGATCAAAATTGAGTAAATCTGTTGACCATTCGCACGGCATGTCTTGCACAATCACACACACCTCACATCTCAGAGGATACTGTTCTCGAACATCAGCAACATCTAAATATCGACAAGATGTCGAAGAGGAGTAATTTAACGTAAGAGACAGTAAGCAATATGAGATTTCGAGTTTGCGGTTCGTGTTGTCCAAGAGAACAAGCTGCAATCCCGCGTGTAGAAACTTCACGTAGGAGAATCACCCGAGTGTGCTCTTTTCTCATGCGAACAGCAGATTCTCGAATGTGCCAGACCATGTCCTCGATTTGTAGGCGCGCGCACAACACTTCACATTTTAGTCACATTGAACTTAGCACTTGGTACAGACAAGCATTAATACGACGGAAGTTTGCAAAATATTGCTGGTTCGCAGTAAGAGCGTCCAGCAACTAGAGATGTATACTGTACGCACGTTTCTCCAGCTGAAGCGTCAGCAGACTCGATTTCTCATAGTATTCTAGTCTTGCGTGCGTAGATCGAGAAGTTCTACATCGTAGTTTCTACAGAAGGTTGCAGCTTTGTAATCAGTGTCACTTCGCGATTCGAGAGGAGCTTTTGTCGATGAACAATATATAGTGGATTGTGTTATCTCTCAGTATGAAATAAAGTTTCGTTTGTTTGGAAGAAAATGGAAGAAAGATGATTGTAATTGGAATATTTAAGTTTTTTAGATACTTGTTTTCTAACAGTTTGAATCATATTGCATTGACTAATTATTTTGTGAACCGAGCAAGATCGGTTCATAAAGCAAAAAGATTTCATCGGTGAATCACCTCTAGATTCTATTAGATCTAAATAAAAATTCTGGTGGCGAAAGCTCTTCTCGAAGAAGCAATGAACTGCGAACAAGCGCGAACCAAAGAGACTCGTCGAATGGAAGTATCTGCGATATACGTTAGCAGAATATATAACATTAAGTAGAATTGAATTGTAATGTAGAGTATGAAAATTCATCACTCGAACATTGTTAATAACGTTTGCCTCTCCTTTACCATTGTAATGCGCTAATCTGATATCATTAATGTTTTACGCAAGAATGCTATGTCGATTAAATTGTACTAGCGTAGTCGCTCATAAAAAGAATTATCTCACACACAAGTAAATACCCACACGACTATCTATATCTTACACAAGACTTGATTGAGAAATCTTCGGTTTCTCCTTAGAACGTTACAATCCCGCTCTCCTGCTTATCCCGCATCTTTAACGCGTAAGAAAATTATTGTTCTAGTTCCAAATTTCTCAGGAGAATCCGTATAATACTCTTAATCTTAAACGATAGAACCCGTCGCGTCGTAATTGCTGCGCGATGCATGAACTTTGTTATTATTGTATGAGTTCACCTTTCGTATGATTGTATCATGATGGATCGTCATCGGAGCATTCTTGAGATCGATTGTTGTTTCGAATAAAATGATAATTCTCTCAGCCAGGACTTATCTTTATTAAGATAAGAAAGATTCTACAAATACCTTATTCACGTTAATAAATGCTAGTCTTATGCTTACAATTAAATCTTGCAAGGAAAGGAATTGCGAAGAGAGAAACGCAAGATAATATTAGAGGAAAGTAATCGTTGTAACACCATATCGTTAAAAAGGAAACGTCAGGGCATTCTCTTCTCCTCTTTTACTCTCTTTCTTTCTGTTTCTTTTAGTCTTAACGTATATATTTATTTATAATTATTATACAGTCTCAGACTCGATATACCGTTTCCTAACGTCTCTCGTTTACTTTTCCTTTCTCTCTTTCACTCTCATTCTCTTTCATTCTCGTCTCTCATGTTCTCATAAAATGTTACGTTCGTGCGCGCAAAAATGCAAATTTAAGCAAGTTTCCACTGAACGCAAATGATATAGGGCATTTTTTTTCGTATGTCGTCATGAAAATTGTCTTTGCCCGCCTTCACGGCACACAAGCGCGATCGCCCACACGCAAGAAAAAAAAAAAATATATATATATATTTATATATATATATTTTTTTTATTTATTTATATTTATATAAGTAGTTTATAGAATCAAAACCGTGATCGTCGGGCCGCTCGATTCGAAACTTCGGAGTCGTATGTACGTCAAATACAATGATATTATACACAGCCGCCTGACACTCTCGAGCAGTCGATCAATCCCTGCGAGAGACGAGCGCGAATCAAAGAGAATCGTGCGTTTTGCACGAGGGATTCTAATCCTCATTTACATAAAGATATAGAAAATTTATTGAAAATCTCTACGACATATTTAAATATAAAGAAGAGAGCTATCTGTGTATGTCTCTCTCTCTCTCTCTCTCTCTCTCTCTCTCTCTCTCTCTCTCTCTCTCTCTCTCTCTCTCTCTCTCTCTCTCTCTCCCCCCTCTATTCCGCACTGGACGAACGACTCAATCACGGGCGCTTGTACATGGGGCAGGAGGATTAGAATCCCAGGATTTCAGAGACTAGAAACTCGATTGAGAGGGGAACTCGATCATACCCGCCGATCGATTCTCCTCGATTCGCCGACCTATCGCGAGCGGGAGCGGCTTGAAAAAGAAACGGGAAAAAAAGAGATAACGCGGAGAGAATTCGACCGCGACCGATCAAATATTACATCACGAGTGAGTGCCTGCGATCGCCCGAGGGGGGGGGGGGAAAGAGTTGTCACTTAAACGAAACTTTGGCAAACATCCCTCGATACTTTGGCAGACGGAACGAAGGCTGCTTCGTATCTCATAAATTTGTCACGGTATTGTGCCTGCCGTTGTGTGGTTATTTTTGTTATTTTAACGCCGTAGATATCTCTCTCTCTCTCTCTCTCTCTCTCTCTCTCTCTCTCTCTCTCTCTCCGTTAGTCGCGTGTGAGAACCGCAAAATCGTTCGAGCGATTAATTGATCGCGGGCGAGTGCAAAATGTTGTTCCTTCTCGAAGCCGGGCGTAGCTATCACAGTTGTCTTCCTTGAACGGCACCCTCGACGCGCCCTACACTGTTGTGCGCAAGCAATCTCGTCGACCTATACAATATCACGCGAGTAATTGATATGTCACGATAACACAAGCTTCGTCGTCGGACTCGCGCGTCTGGTCTCTCGGCCGCGAGGTATGAGAAGAACGAGAGTGAAGAGAGTGACCGAAGAAAATTCCGAGCGATCTCGCACGTCGATGTGATATTATGGATCGCGAAGTTACGTTCGATATATAAGGATACCGAGCGACGTGCGCGCGTACCGCTTCGGACACGGGAATCTCTCGAAGGGCTCGAATACGGTAGGGCGGAACAAGCAGTTCGCAGGAGAAGACGCGGAGCGCTTCTCCTCTCGTCCATATATTGGTTCCTTAATAATATTCTAATGGCAGTCTGCGGGGAGGTAAAGTGTCCGTCAGCGAGTTTGACAGTCACACGCATGATCATCGTTTCCGCGGTATTCACGTGTCATGAGATCGCGAACCTGGCGGGCTCCTTTGGGCACGGTAACGCGGATGGAAGGTGCAAGGTGTATGTGTGTGTGTGTTTTGTGTGTTTGTGTGTGGTATGTGTGTACGTATGTTACGTGCTCGCGTTTATTTAGGTATTATTTAGGTGTACTTCCTCTTTTCTCTTTTTCACCCATTCGTCGCGATCGTGTAACTTTCCTCTAAGGACGGAAACGTGAAAAGTTTCACATTTCCATTGTGTTCGGAAAGTTACACGATCGCTAAAGTCGTCGAGTTGACGTGAAACTTTTCACTTGCCCGCTCTTAGGAAAAAGTTACGATCACCGTTCAGGCATCGGCCGCTGCTGCCGATTCGAGCTGCCCAACGATTGAGATATGTTGGGCTTTCGCAGAACACACTCGACGTCGATCATCCTCTCGTATAAAAAGACAAATCGATCTCGCCCGCAACAATGTCGTAAGAAAATAAACTTTAAATTCCCCGCACTCTTCGTATATAATAATCGTGCCGAATAGATAATATCGCCTCTCCCCTTCCTCCCTTCATCTTTCGCCTCCTCCCGCTTTTACCGATGCTGACCTAATGAAATGTAGATTTCACCGTGTCGGTTAAAATGTTCCCCGCGAAAGCCCAGCACGCTTATCTAAGGAATTAAGCTACAAAAGTGGCGGTACAATCTGGATAATTATTTCCTCATTCCTTTCTTTATCCTCCGCCCTTTAGCCACTATGTACCCCCGCTCTCGGGGAAGGATCTACCCTTTTTTACCCTCCCTCTATCTCACTACTGTCAGATCCCTCTCCTCCCCTCGCGTACATATAAATTCTCGCTGGAGCGCGATAGGCAGGACTGGACAGTATATCTTTTTTCTTTGTTTCGGTATTACTCATGCACTCGCGACATAAATATTTACGATACAAAATACTCTCGTTTTTCTTTCTCGCCTTTTTTTTTTTTGTTTCTTCGTATCTTGTATATCCGAGTCCGATCTTTTAAAAGTACGTATGTATTTTGTACCACATTTCTCAACGGTGCATCTTGCGTTTGATATTCGGCGTACCTTCACCACGACGTTGTATCTTGTTAATCACGCTCGAAATATATCATTTTTACAGTTTCCTCTCCCCCTCCCCCTCCCTCTCTCGCTCAGCCCTGGCGATAATGGTTTCCTATTCCTTTTTTTTCTTTTCTTTTTAACACTTATCCCTTTCGCTCACGTCTTCCGCTCACTGAAGTTTATACTCGGCCGGCATTTAAATCTCACCCAACCCTCCCACGCTCGCTTCCTCGACCATCACTCGCGAAACGATGATGTACGTAAAACGGCATTCACGAGTCTCGAGCTCCAATTTACAGACCGTAGAAAATACAGAGACAAGCGAGGTAACTGAGATCTTCACGCGAACGGGCAACTGCAATGAATCTTCAACGGTAAAATAATAGTTAATAACAATTGGTTCTCGCTGATTCGCCGACGAATCAGGCAATTATTATTCGGTTAGTTTTCTCGATTTTGCAATGATCATTAATTTTATCGCGTTGAAGGATTACTGCGCTGCCCCGCTCGCTCGATGCTTTCAATTGTCGCGACCGTTCATTAGCCGATATGAAATGAGCAGAGGAACGTCCGACACGATTACATTATACGGTGTGTTATTTTGTGCGGTAAACGAGATGCGGAGGAAAACGCGGAAAGAAACGTAAAGCTCGAAAAACAACTTTTATTGTATTTTAGCATTGGATCTCTCTTCGGAGAGATGCTCGTCCGAACGGTATCTTCATCTCGCGACAATTTCAAGATTCACCTTATGCGTTTTACATTTCTCGTCGAAGATTACGATGCGCTTAGAGTGTACCGATAAGAGAAATCGCGCGTGTCTCGCATAAGATATTCCTGTGCTGCGATGCAATGCCCTTTAGATAGTCAATATATTATAATATATACACATATATATATATTCTCTTTGTCTCTTTTGAAAATTACGAATCATGTATACGCGAACGCTCTACCCCGCGTAGAGGGCAACGCTCGATTGACATTTTTGTTTATGAAAAAAAAATATATATATATATATTAATGACACAACGAGCGATCACCGGGTTGACGCAACTTTCCAAAATCCAGAATCTTTACGGTCACAAGAGTCGTCGCCATGTGACATCTTCTCGTTCAACCAATAATAATCCTAAACTGGCCGAACTCGCTGATCTTGCTTCCCGTTCGCGACAACGGCGCAGCTGTTGCCGCTCAACTTGAACGTCTTTCTGTTGACGATTTCGTCGCGGGGCACCACCAAGAGTTAGACGCGATAGAGACGTAGGTCTGCTTGCATCGAACATCGTTAGCACTCGGGCAGGTGGTAATTGTCGAGTCCGCCACTGTCGTTGTCCTCTGTCGCACGCTTTTCGACGCCGACACCCTGCTGTAGATTCCTCCGATTGATCCT